TTGTTTTGTTTTAGTGATAAGGCAATGTTGATTTAATTACTGTGTCCTCCTATGCGACCCCTCATGATTTTCTAATAGTAATAATGCTACCCTACATGGCATTTTCAAATGACACCTTCTAGATCTGTATGCAAAGGGCAAGCAAAAGGCTACAGTGCCTCTCCTTTGTCAGAACTGACAGGTGATGACAGTTGCACTTTTATCAAGATCTCTGTACACCTGGGGCTGAGATAGATAAAGCCAGTACCATCACGCTTCGCTATAAACAAATACTGTTACCTGGTATATCCTAGTGTACCGGCGTACCTCAGGCCATGTTGATTTCATTATATGGATGACATCCTCTGGGAACCCCAAAACTGATGCGAGCGTGCAAATAAAAAAAAAGTTTGGTCAAAAAAAGTTTTGTTGCACTGTTTCCTGGCTACGTATAGTGATAAATTTAGTAGGGCTAGCAGTGCTTAATAGTAAATTCAGGCAAGCCTGCAATGCTTCAAGGTACATTTGTGAATTGACTACTGTAGTTCCTATGAAAGGTCTTGGGAACGATCTCGTTGGTTGTTCCATTGTATTTATGGGGTGTCGGACTAAACTAGGCTGCAAGCACATAATTTAGATAGCTCCCAAGGCTACTAGAAGAAGGCATGCAGATATCGTTACATGCTTTTCTCTGATCAACTCTAATTACTTGTAGATAAGAGCTCTCTGAGCAGTAGAGAGAGATATATTTGGTGCAGACAAGTTATTTATATGGTTTCGGATGTGCAAATAGAAATGACATCCAACGAAAACCATAAAAATCTAAGTTCCAGCCGACATACTATCCGAGACTAGTACTATTGTGTATTGCTTGAAAGGTGAAGAAAGGCATATCAAATTGATGTGTTATTTTGGCTTGCGAGATCTGATCAGGGGCAGCCACAGATACACTTGTGGCATCTGAATTATGCAGATCAGGAGTAAATCACAGTCAGGTGTTGATTTATGTCTTAATCTGTATCAGGATCAAGAGCCTACTGTAGCCTCTGGTGCCAGAGTATACAACTTGCAATTTTACGGAATACAGTGCCATTTTACGGAATACAATACAATTTTACGGAATACAGTGCAATTTTACGGAATACAATACAATTTTACGGAATACAGTGCAATTTTATGGAATACAGTGCAATTTTACTAGTATTGAGTTCAATTTTACTAGTATAATGGTACTAGTATACCACTTGCAATTTTACTCGTAAAATTGCACTATATATACTAATACGATTGCACTGTAATTCCATAGAATTGCACTGTATACTAATTTTAAATTGCACCGTTTTCCGTAAAATTGCACTGTATACTAATACAATTTTTTACTGTATTCCATAAAATTGCACAGTACAGTATTACAATAATAAAATTGCACTGTATACTCTGGTGGCACCCCTGTTCAGAGGCAGCTGGAAAGAGTAGAAATTGGCCAGATAGACAGATAACATGTCAGGGGAGTTAGTCCCTTAAAAGTAGTACACTTCGAGAGTGGTTTAGCTCTACTCCTTTAGTGGACCAACTCCCTTGGCATTTTATCTGTCTACTTGCCCAATTTCTACTCTTTCCAGCCGCTTCTGAAGCCTGGTAGAGGCTACCAAGAACCTAAATCATTGTCAGAGACTCCTGCAGTTAAAGATATGACAATAGTTCCAGCCCTTGGTACAAAAACGGGCACTTCATTTTGAGAGGAATGCTATATGTACAAGAGGGCACGATGTTGTAGACGGCATTTTTGACATACTGATCGAGCCGCTTTCCTCTAAAGTAATATTCCTTGCACTCAGCCATGTGAAAATGCATCCCCCACTTGCAATTTGGAGTATCCCCCTGACCAAAAGAAATGCCACCGATAACTCCCATAGCCCCAGCATACTTCAACACACTTTCCCAGATGGCGACTGACCTACTGGAAATGAAAGTGCCCTCCCCATATCTTTTTACCACTAGACTCTTATGTTATCTTATAGGCCTGTGTAATATAGACCTATCACTTTTGATGTTGGAGTTGCTTAGAACCATGATTAGGTACCATATATGATTTCCATGTAATTTTAGGACGACAAAACAAAAAATATTTTGGATTTATAGGAAATTTGTCTTATATATGTATTGGCATGTATGCCATGTAAGTAGTTGCCATTGAATTTGAGCACATTTTTGTCATCATTTCATACTTGAAGCATTTGAGATAGCCCGAAATCAAGCTACGTGAGGAGTCTCTTTATTTATGGGTACCACCGATAAATAGCCTATGACACAAAATGATCAGCCGTTTTTCGTCTGCGAAATTTTTGCCTTATAATAAGTTATATATATTACATGTTCTATTAACTAAAATATGGGATTTGGTTTAACTCACAATGCTACTGTAATAAACTAAAATAACTGGAAAATTGACTTCGAAAATCCAGTTTTCCTTTCCTGGGTACCTTTAATGCAATTAAGGAATTGAGAAGAGTTGTGGGTAAATAAAATAACAATTCTTGTGGTACATGTATGCCCTGTAGACATTAGTTCTTGTCAGTATTTGGTACGGTTGATTGACCGTGGTAATGCCATCAGCGCCCGTTAAGCGCACCGAAAAATGTCAACCATGAAGGTGATTGAAGAATAAACTTGGTCAGCTACATGTATGCCGTATTGGCGTTGTCACCAAGTTGATCGCATTTTAGCTTTCCTAAAACAAATTTGTGTGACACGTTATAGGATAAATTTGAGGTGATAAAAATTGTTGACCCAGTAGTTACCCCACATAACTTGCAAGCATACCTGAAGTTCCACAAAACTTTAATACAACTCTTCCTCTATTTCTAGTCAGAAGCCAATGACATTGGCACAGTGTATATATAGATTGTTTGATGGGTTAGATAGAAAGAATTCTTTTGATACTGGGACAAAATTGGGTTCAGGTTTTGAAGCCATAAAATGTACATGATACAAATTACAGTCTTGTACCTTGCGACAACCACGAAATTGCAAACTGAAATTACAGAATCTGATATAGAATGAAACTCAGTCTCTATGTAGCCAAGACAAAGTCAGGAAAGATGTCAAGCAAATGTCTTTTTAGGCAGAATTATGAATTTCAGGGTGGCAAAACTGGATTTTCAAGGTCAATTTTCTAGTCTTTCTTTCTATTTTGTTGAATCAATCCTATCCCATAGAGACTGAAATCTGGGAGGCAAAAATGCGATGTCACTGACGAAAAATGGTATTTTGTTTGCTATCATAGTTTGTAATAGCTTTTTATTGGTGGTACCAAAAAGAAAGGGACCTAAATTGTGTAGCTTGTTTTGGGGCTAGTTCAAATGCTTCAACTTTTCAAGTATGAAATGATGATGAAAATGTGCTAAAAAAGGCAGCAAATGTCAGATTTCCTCATCCAGAATATTTTGATTTTTCCGCCCTGAAATTGCATTGGAATTTGGATGCTTTTAAGTCAAAAACTATGTCATAGTCAGAAATCTATTTACATTTTCAGTGCTAAATTGTTTGAATGGCAGGGTATTAGATAACATACAGGTACCAAAAACAACTGTCACAGAGTTCCCTCAGGCAGAGAAACAAATTTCATGCCTACTTACACAAAGAGCCCTGCCTTCACACCACTTGTGCAGGGGCAGCAATGCAGAAAATTTTATAAATCTTACACAGGTGGTATTTTAATTTTGTTGCACTAAAAGCCTGTGGTGACGGTAAATTTAACTAACATTCTTTTGCGCTGTAGACTCACAGTTGTACCAAGTGTAGCAAGTTGCTTGGAATGAAAGTTAACATAGCATAAAACCACCAGTCAATCTTATGTAGCTGAATTTGTCAGACATTTTATCAGAATGTAATTCTTTCAGTTAGGTAACTTAGCTAATACTGTCAGCAGTTAAATGATGGAAATCATCCTTTTAGTCAAGCTACATGTAATTTTTGTGGCATATTGGACGTTTCATCCAAAAGAGAAATGGCAAGATCGCAACTAGTGAAGACAATATTGCACAGATGTGATCGTGATGCTTTTGATTTGAATGTACCCAAAACAATATCAGGGCATTGACTAGTGATGCATACCGGTTCACTGGACTTGGATCCGGACTTGTAAGAATGTTTAGGTTCAAGTCCAAAAAAAACCTAAAAGTCAAGAACCGAGTCTGGACTTATTACCATAAAAGACCATTTCACATACCCCTTTTCTTTCCAAATCACCTAAAACCTTCCGTAGATTGTAAAATCTTTGCTGCAAAATGAAGAAAACATTGCCATCGGGCATTGTCAAGTACCGGCCTCCATGTTATGTGGCCAAAGTTTCACCCAGACAATATTACAAGGTTGCCAACATGCAATTGTGTATGCCATGGGTTTACATGTAGGTCCTGACTTACAAGTCCGGAACTGAACCTAAACCTCTGGACTTGAATCCGGACCTGAAGCTAAAATTGGGTTTAGGTATGCATCACTAGCATTGACCCTATAAATATTATGAATGTTTCATACTTGGAAGTTTGAAACAGCACAAAAACAAGCCCCAAGACGATGAATAAGTGACTAGACTATTGACTTTGACTTTCGTTCTCATTCTCAAGCCCCAAAACTGCTTCAGGTACCTTATAATTATATGAGATACAGAACTGATTAAGCTATGGGTTGGTGTACACCATGTATATTTTAGACTAACTTAGTCTAGCATAAAATGTTGGCACAGCTTTTTTTAATTATCATGGATATAATATTACAAACAAGAAGCACAGTGTGTACAATGTATGTGTGCTGTTACATGTTTAAGTGTAACTCAAAGCAGAAATTATTTACCAGTACCTTGTAACTGTTGTACTATGTGTATTGACCCCCAATTTGTATCAGCTAAGAAGGTGACAGGTCAACAGTTATGGAGATTTGCCACTGTTGACTACTTGTCTGCAGCCCAGAGGTCATTGATCTGTTTAGTAATCAATCCATTATTTATTGTTCTATTACAGGAGGTTCTTCAGCAGCTGATTGTGATGAAACTTCCTGACATCATTGCTATTGGCAAGGAGCCTGAAGGAGGTAGGGCCAGTTCTTGATATTGGATTCACAGCTGTATAAGGGCCTAGCAGTGTACAAAATACTTTTTTGAACCAGATTGCCCAGTGCCCAGTGGGCAACCTATGGCAAAAATTAGGTTGCCCATCAGAATTTATTACTATAAGTTACTACGTTCCTCAAATCAAGTAATGTTACATACATAATCCTTCAACGATATTTCCAACAGCCTTTAGTTAACTGATACTAGCAATAGCCATTAATACCTAACATTAAAAAGCATCTGCCAGATACAGTGCTGCAAGCCAAGTGGGCATGATTGGGGGGGGGGGTTCTTAAAATTCAGGTAGGTTGCCCCAAGTAAAATTTGGCAACCAGGTACTTTGCATGCTGCCTAGGAAAGAAAATGTTGTGTTTCTTGTTTCCCAACCAACTCTAGAAAAAAAATGCTGACCCTAGACTTTTTTTTGTGCGTGGACCCCTGCATGGGACATAAATTTTTCAATCTGATTGACCTTTTCTAGCTCCATGATCTGTCACCTGAGTGATGACATTGAAAATAAGAAGAGTGTCCTCATTCAAGTTTTACTATCAAATTGTTAATTATACTGTATTGCAAGTTGGATTACTACAGATTGCTGAAGTCTAAAAAAAAGAAAGAAAAAAAAAGATAATCCCTACCTACCAATACCAACACTATTTTTTTAGGACTGAAACAGGAAACACAACATTTTTTTATGCCAAGGGCAATATTGCGGTAGTTACTTCCTAGTATGGAAGTATTGTTTTGTGTCTGTTTGTATAGAGAAAGTTGCTTGATAGCACATGGGTGAGAAAGATTGACAGGTAGAACAACAGGTCAGAAGGTTAGACACAGGAAATGCGGTGAACTTGAAGGTCACAAAAGTTTGAAATCTCTCATTCCCCATAGCAACCTGTTAGTAATGATTGAACTTTGTGGTACAAAATCATTACTAGTACATGTATGACTCTGAGACATAAAAATCTCCTTGTGTAAAATTGTCTATAAAGTGTGACATCCTTGTCAACTTACAAAGATTTACTGATTGAAAAAAGAGTTAGTCAATACAATGAATGCTCAACCAACATTTCAAAGAATTAGCGTTACTGTGTCATGTTTTTGTCTTTTGTTTGTATTGGATGATTCCATGTTCCACCCTTTTTTCTCACAGAACAATGCATCCATGAGTTGAGGAAGATACTGCTTTTAGTGCTGGGCTGTGCAGTACAGGTAGGATTAGACAGTCTACTACCCTGTGTAAATAAACAAGACGATTAGGAATGCTTTTTCTTTGCCAGGTGTTTGAAATTTTGAATAAGAAAGGTTTCAATCCATTTGACCACTGGGGTTAGGCTTCACGAATTTCATCAGTTGGTTCTTGAATTCGTCCGCTTAATTTTTTCCTGTCTTCCAAAAAAAATAGAAGAATATTCAGGTTCTGGAAAAACTCAAAAATGCTCATAGTTTGATCCAAACAGTTGAAAAAAGTCCTTGTCTTCCTAGTAATGTTACAGTTTACCATCTATCAATGCAGTAGTTTGATTAAAACTAAAAGTTCAAAATTCAAAACCCAAAGAATAGTTGTATACATGGTTGTATGTCAGAATACTGTTAGAAACAGCAACATGCATGCTCTGTGTACTTTTTGTCTTGCTTTTATTTTTGATAGAGGATAAAATGTTCTTTATGTCACCGAGGGGGTTTTAAGTCCTTTTTTTGATGTCACAATTTAAAGATAAAGAGGACTGAGCAGTCCTTGTTCCTCCGATGATTTGCATCCCTCAGCACACAATAGTCTCCATGGATTAGTCCCCAATCTTTTCAATGGGGTAGAATGAAAGGTAGCTAGCCTACACAGGCCTAGGAAAACAAATGTTGTGTTTTCTGTTTCCCAACCAACCCTAGCAGGGCTCAAAATTCATTTTTGGGAATAGGTGCACTGGTGCACCCAACCTAAAAAATTAGGACTGGTGCACAAAAACTTTTTTGGGTGCACCATATGAAACTAATCCTATTTGCAGGTCTTACTGCTCCTCTTCTGAGCTTGAATCTGAAATGGGAGCTAACTTTGAAATCTTAAACAAGTACTACAACAAATATTTTAATGATATTATTTATCTGACACTTAGATGCTAGGAATATTCTGCATACTATTTTTTGATATGTACAAAAATACCTACAAAAATATTTGGGTGCACCAGTGCACTCACAGAAAAAAATTGGGTGCACAGCTCCAATTTTGGGTGCACTAACGTGCACAGGCACCCAGTATTTCAAGCCCTGCCTAAGAGATGAAACGTTGTACAATCGGTTTTCCAACATTGACATTGAAAATGGGTGAACTGTATTGTATACGTGAAATCACTAGAGATTGCCAAAGTCTAAGAGAAAAAAAAGAAAGAAAAAAAAGATAATCCCTACCTACCAACCCTAGTTTTTTTCAGAACTTAAACAGGAAACACAGCAATTTGTTTCCTGGGCCCCACACATGCTCATGTCCATATGAAAGACTGGGTTTTACGTGCATACAAACTGCTACCATCACAAGCTCTGTTCCTGCTTCTTAGAAGTGGCAGTCAAAGAATCAAGACAACAATGTATTATTGGGAAGTTGGTCACAATGAAAGTACATTTTTACTTTAAATCCCAGTAGTTGCAATCAACTGTGCCAGAAACATGTCAGTTTAGGACTCTTTCCTGCAGGAAGTGTTTATTTTATCTTTAAATTTAGATGAAAGCATTTTGTTTTTATAAATATGTATGCATATCTGTTTGCGTTAGTGATTTTTTGTCAGTTCATTGAACATTATGGTACTGCAATGTATTTTTTACCTTGCGCCCTCTGAATATATACATTTGTAATTCAGACAAAGGACTGTCCTAGTTTTTTAAAATGTATGTAAAAATGATGTAAAAATTCAGCTGTTGTTTAATAGATATGATTTTAAGCCCCCCTTTATGCTGTAATTAAATGGTGATAGAATATTATTTTCTGTGGAACATTTTCATCATACACGTATCATATTCATTTATTACCTACAGTGTGAAAAGAAGGAGGGCTTCATTGAGAAAATCAAAGAGCTAGACCTGGATGTACAACATGCTATGGTTGGACATATTCAAGAGGTAGGTTCTATGGCCTAACATTTAAGAATATCTCATGAAAATGTTACTCATTCAATAAAAGATATAACCATGTAAGCAAGAGGCATGCCAATAACTCTTGGAGGGTGTATAATGCTTGCCAACCAATACAACATTAGTTGTAAGAGGATCTAACTTAAGGTACATGTACTTGTACTTTTATTGTCCAAACAGTACCCGTGCAGTCGCAGCCTTTATACGGCTGAATTGATGCAGGGTATCACATAATAATCAATACAAATCACAACAATTACAACAATCAAATAATACACATGATACACATATTTGTTCCACAATTATTTTTGTGGAACTGTCGCAAGGGTCTGTGCGGCTGCCATTCGGTGCCACCAGGTGACCTCAATACGACTTTCCACAACCGAAGTTAGGTACCCATTCACACCTGGGTGGAGTGAGGAAAGTCGTGTAAAGTGACATGTACCGGGTACGACTCGGAATCGAACCCGGGTCTCCCCGGTTCATAGTCGATTGCTCTAACCACCACACCACCCGACGCCATAAGGTCGGGTACTTGTAAGGTACATAATGAAAACTCTAGTATACAGTACAAACTTTGTGATATCTCTCCCCTGTACAGATCACAGACAACACAGACAACATCTTCTGTACCCAGTGGAGTGAGCTGACAGAGATCCCTCCTGAGGAGCTGGACGGTCTGTCCAGAAACATGTTCTACCATCTCAAGAGACTGGTCAACGAGAGGGACGACTACTGTGAGGTCAGAACAGTTAACACAAGTTTTCTCTCTTTATTCTGTTCAGTACAATACTCTTTAGCCTAAGTAAAGCCATCTGCACGCGCATTGATTTTTGCCTGTTCTCAAAAAAAAAAAGTCACCTCCAAGCCTCTGGCCTAGTACAGAGGACGTCACCCAGGCTGACAAAGTTCCACGGAACTCGAGAACTCAGTACAGGGCTGATTCATACAATGCCGCAAAAGGCCAGAATGTGCCGGTTTATCATAAAAGTCTCTATGTACTACTGTATTGCTGTGGCTTAGCTGCATTTTTTTTGGCTGGACTTTTTTTTTTTTATTCACTCGCGTGCACTAGTTTGAGTGTCTTCAGAGGATGTCAGCCATAAAATTAAGACAGTGTAGCCTTATTAGTTATGGCTAATCTTACAGGGTTCAAATACAAGATTACTACAAATTACGCAAAATAAAACATACATGTAAACAGACTACAATCATCATGGTAAATGTCATAGTCAGGCTTTTTGGGGGTCAAAGATGACTCAAACTTAACTCAAATTTCATTTTATTCGGAAAAATCTGGTCAGACACCTCCCAAACTTCATCCAACCTTGGTTTGTTTATGGTCGAGGAAGGTTCTGAATGTGTGATGGGGACTCAAAGTTGACATTCCCGTTTTCCCTCCCAGGCTCTTGCAGAGATCACACAAGAGAGGGACTACTACCAGCTGGCCCAGCAGGAGGCCAGCAAACAGGCACAGTCCCCGGTCACCCCGGGACAGCCCCAGGACAAGAACCACCTGACCGTGGAGCTGGCCGACACCAAGGCCAAACTCAGGAGACTCCGACAGGAGCTGGAGGAGAAGACGGAACAAGTCGTGGACTTCAAGCACGAGATCGAGCAGACCAACCTCACGCTGCAGAAACTCCGGCAGGAGAACCTGGAGCTGAGCACGGACGCGCGCTCGGCGAGGGCGTACCGGGACGAGCTGGACGTGGCCAAGGAGAAACTGAGCAAGACAGAGAAGTTTGAGTCAGAGATCCAGAGGTACAAGGAGAAACTCAACGACTTGGACTTCTATAAGGCCCGGACTGAGGTTAGTTTCTGTTTCTCGGGCTCAAAATACTTTTTTTTTTGTAGTCCAGGACCTGGTATTACTGTCACATTGAAAATTACCTGTACCAGACAGATTTTAACTGAATTTAGGATGTATGGAAACCATTGCCATTAGTATTTATTTTATACTTATACATAGATGGTCAATGCAGCAAATAGGAATCCACACACACATAGTACATAGAATAGTCTATGTTATGAACCCAGTGCATTGACCGGTGCAGGTAATTAAGTGCAGGTAGACATCAGAAATACCAGCACATCCTCAATTTTACCTGCACTAAAGTGCACATGCACCCTGTATTTCGAGCCCTGATACTTGTGTACACAAACTATCAGAAGAAATAGAACTCACACACACTTTGTTCAGTAATTACTTATCCTGCTGATATCTGTACTGCATGATTATTTATTGAATGTTAACAAATAAACCTCATTTTTACATAGATGTTCCAGTACTTTGGGCCTTTACCTGAATGATTTTCATGGTACTGTACCAGTAGGCTGCCCTACGGCAGATCAGTTAGACTGATCCCACTGCCTGTAACATGCAATTTCTGTGTAAAGCCTGACCCCTAACCCTTCCTGCCCTCCAGGAGCTGCGTGAAGACAACAGGATCCTCCACGAGACCAAGGCCATGCTGGAGGAGCAGGTGGAGTCCCTCAGGGCTAAGAAGGAGAAGTGGGTGGAGGTGGAACAGGAGAACCTGAGGATCAAGGCACAGCTGAAGGAGATGGAGGAGGTGAGAGGGGGGAACACTGGGCACATTGTGTGTGTGTGTGCTACACTAGACCTTAGGGACTGGATGGATATGTGGAGGTGGAAAGGAAATATGCTAGCCTGGATGCCAGACTGGTAGACTGGCCCAGGCAGCAGTCTGGTACCCAGTCTAATAATAATGATAAACTTGAAAGAGGTAGAAAATACTGTAAAATTCACTTCAGTGTTCGAAATACCTGTCTGCAGTCTGCAATCTGCAGATATTGTTTATTGTTTATTTACCATTTGCACGTATATTAAAAACAATTACACAATCAAATAATAATAATCAAAGAATGTGCGGGGTAGGCCAGAAACCAGGGTGGTTTTTCTAGAGGCCTACCCCAAGATAGATTTTCAAGATTGCAGAAGAAAAATTTATACAATCTGCAATTTTGCAGAAGGAAAAGTAGGCTCCAGATTTAATGGTTTTCAATTTAGCACACTAGAACTCTCAGGCCCTAGGGGCAGACAACACTTAAATCCTGTTCTGAAACAACAGGAGCTTCTTCACTAATTTATATCATCATTGTCTTGACTTGTCTATCTTTTGTTTCCTTTTGACTCCAAAAATTTGTCTTCACTAATTTGCATATGAATCAATAGTTTCTGCTAATAAACCTGCATTTCTTCTGCAATGTGAAAGAGAAGGATCTATAAAGTCTGAAATTAAAAAGAGTAATATTTCAAACTTAAAAGAATTCCAGTAATGCTACAGATTTACAAAGCTATATATGATGTAAAAAGGCATAATTCGTCTGAGAAGGGTGTAGTATGGAGGCATGTGTATTTGCATGCAGGAAGTATTTCCAAATTGCAGATCCAAATTTCGACTCTTCTGCAAAATTGCAGAGCACTGAAAAAAAGTATTTCGACCACTGCACTTTATGTTTGTAGTCACTGTAGCAAAATATTGCGGTCTGAGAAGAATGGAGGTGTTCACAGAACTATATGTTCGCGGTGGCGGCAGGTGCAGAAAAAAAAAGTCAGCGAAGTATTTGTTAGAGAGGGAAGTGACAGCAAAAATTACAGGCCATCCCCCAGTTAGATCATGTACGTAGGTGGTTTGTGTGCTACTGCAGCGGAACTTCCGGTTTTGGAGAAAATCTGTATTTCTATAACTGCCGAAAATCTGTATTTCTATCCCTTCTGCATAACACACCAGATGTGGCAGCTGGCTATGTTACACCTGAATGACTTGTTACAGGTATAAGATAGACATGAGGTAGATAGTTTATAAATGTTACTTGGATAGTAAGATGTATTCTCAGGATGGAACATACTATTATTATACATATTAGAAAAAGTGAAAATACTGTAAAACAAACACCCTTAAATTTTTAATGATCTTAAGCCAACCCAACCATTGTAGAGCTACAAGGAGGGAAGTGCAAATTCACACCATTTGTTCTTTTCCCATGGGATGCTTTCTCTAATCATGTATCAGACTGTACCAACCACAAGACTAGTGTCCCACCACTTTCCAATTTTCCAGTGACTGGTTGTTTCCTCTCTCTCACACTATTGGACCTGACCCTAATAACCCAGAGTGATATCACATAGGGGGTGTCGTGACCTCTGCAATCTGGAGGTAATTGTCTAGTAACCCTCAGGCAAATGACAGTTGACTGCTCTGTCTTTTCCTCCAAAACAGTTTATTGAGTTCTATCTGGAGTTGGAAATGTTTTGATCAAAAGCCTTAAAAGTTGAAAAATTCTTCGTATCGTGTAGTTGAATAGCAGATTGCCCCAAATTCACACTAGTTTTGTCAGACACACAAATACCTAACACATAACAACAATCCAACAAAGTACATTTGTATTTCCTAAAACCTTACATGAGAACAATTTGTTGCCAGCCTTCCTGAATTTATCGTTAAGCATTGCAGACCCTCCTAAATTTACCGTAAAGCATTGTCAGGAACTCCCCCATGCAGACCCTCCTGTATATCAGTAGCTTCCTCTTTTGCACCTGTGAAAACAGTCTACAAGATACTGTAAATCACTTTATGTTCGCGGTAGCAAAAGTTCACGGTTCGAGAAAAATGGACATGTTCGGGGAACTATACTTTCGTAGTAGCGGCAGGTGCAGGAAAAAGAAAGCGTGGAAATTATTTGTTCGCGGTAATGATAAATTTGTGGTACGGAATTGACCGCGAAAACCGTGAATATAAAAGTACTGTGAAAAAATCATGATTTACAGTAGTCTGACACAGGGATTGACCTGATGACTGCCAAATATGTCTTTTGTGCCATCTAGATAAGATTAAATGTCTGGGTATATCTGAGGCATTTTAATTATCTGAAGACCAGCTCTAGTGTACAAAACAGTCCACTGTTTATCAATGAAGGCATGATGACATATGATTCTATTACAAAAACTGCTGGCTTGGGATGTCTTGTAATTCGTAATTTGTGCCTAATGGTCTTTTGCTCAACAAGTCAAGTGTCCTAACCAAGGCTCTCAATACTTTTTTCTGCATACCTGCACCAGACAAAATTTACCTGCACCATAGTACTAAACATACATCATGCTAAAAACTGTTCTAAAACTATTACCATTGTTTCTTTTGATAAAAGAATTTATACTTCATTGCAGGTAGCAGTCAATTCCGGAAATAAGAAAAAAAGAAAACAATACTCCAAATTCACATACAATGTACAATAATTATTGTTGTAAAGGGGTTTTTCTGCACAGCTCCAATTTTACCTGCACTAAGGTGCATACATGTACATGTACATTGAGCATTTTGCAGTTTATTTAGATTTTTTGCAAATCAGAAAAAAATGGACAGGGCGAATCCGAGAAACAAAATTACATCAAATTAAGTTGGTGTGGCCTTTAATCTGTGGTGAACCAAATCTGTGAACACTTTTGATAAGAGACCATTGGGAGTAACATTCTTTAAGCACCATGCTTTTCAACCATTCGTTTGTTTGACACAACGATTTCCCTACAATCAAATGTGTGCCCTACACGTGTCTGATCGTATTTAATTGCTTTATAATGCTAAGTGACCTTGTAATATGGGTGTGGCTCTGTATATCACACCCAAGAGTTTGAAAAGCTATTAATAATACTAATGGGTGGAGTTGAGAAAGGGAGAAGACTTTGTAACTTATTTGAGAATAACAATAATTATTCTGGTGCTTTAATTCCACGTCGTTATTTGTTATTCTGAATTCATTGTTAAGCATTAATTGAAAAATTCTTCACATGGCTTAGTCGACATGCTATAATTCGCTCAAAATCATAACAAAAATCCAAGGTCCACATTCCATTGAATACAATACTAGTATGCTGCATCAGTGCATTTAAAGTTGTCATTTTGTTCTCTTGCTTTAGATAGCTGGATATCTGTAATTCCTTGCTTTAGTTAAACACAGTTTTGTCCAAGGTCTTGGTTTCAAAAGGTCAATGTTTTTCAGTGCAGGGCAGGGTCCTGACTTGAATGTGTGGTTTACTGACAGATATTGTCCAGAAATGGGCTCCTGTGCAAAGTCAAAATTGTCACGGACCCCCTTTGAAATCAGGCCCTATAGAATTTAAAGCCCCACCCATGTGTGTATATAGTCCGGGTATAGAGCCCACTACAAAAACGTAGCATCAAAATGCAAGCTCACGGTCTTGTGCAGTGTGAATGGCCATACATGGCAAAGCCCAGGAAAGGGTTAAAATTGAGAGAGGGTCGCTTCTTTTCATGTAGGCGTTAAAGTATATCACTTTAACAAAAGCCTTGACCTTTGAATGTTTGAGTGCTGGAATCAAAGCCAGTGCTGAATTCTGTAAATCACTCTATATTCGTGGTAGCAAAATTTCGCGGTCTGAGAAAATGGACAATGTTTGTAAACTACATGTTTTTTTGCAGTGGCAGAAGAATTTATTAGAGAGAAAGTCAGCAAATTATTTGTTCCCAGGAATGATATTAAGGAATCTTAAGAAATATAAATTAAAAGTAATGTGAAAAAATCATGGTTTACAGTATTCTCAGGGCTCGAAATTAAAGGTAGTCCAATGGCCACTGACCACTAAAGTTTAGGCTGGGACAACTGAAAAGACACTTTGGGACATTTTTGGGGCAATAGAAAAATAATCAACATCAGAATGTCAGCCCTTGTTTCCTTTATCAGGCACACATCTCGGCTTTTGGATCCGGAAAAATCTCCCAAATTTCCTGTCTTCTCTGCATTTATAGTGCGCCTGCGCCATAAGCAAAATGAAGTTGACTTTAATTAAGTTGAAGTCTAACAATACTTTCCGAAAAACAGGTTTGGACAGTTCATCCTCACTTCGGGACAATTAAAATTTATTTTTGGCACAGTGCTGGGACAATAGGAACAAAGGATAATTTCGAGGCCTTATTCTGTGCATGTTACTGAACCATTACGTCAGGGGGCAGCCTAACAACACCTCATAGCGTCCTCACTATGTACTCAGGACACTTTGGTAACACTTGTGACAGGTGAGCGATTATTTGCGGAGGTCGGGCGGGTGTGTTGACAAGGTCGCTGCTGCTTGTTGACGCTCCTGCCTGAGAGGATGTTGTGGTCGTTAATGGGACCTTTAATCACTGTTGTTGTTCTGTCGCACTCTGAGATCATTGGTCCATCTAACGCAGATCAGGTTTAGACACACTAGGACTAAGACCCGATTTACAGTAAATTACACGTGGGGAAAAGCCTAACTAAACTGCGCACATCAAATTTTTCCTGTGTGCAAATTGATATTCATGTACACACGGTCAGATTGTACATTACCTCGAGAGCTGGTGTACAATTTGAATTAACCTTTTTGATGTACGTCAAAGAAGGTAGATGTACATCATAATAATATACACATACTAGGATAAATTTTGATGTACACAGGTTTTGTACATTGTACTTTCTCGTGTGTACACAGTTCTTGTATTGTCAGGTTTTTGTACCCACGGGTTTCAGTCCACAAATGAAATAAAAGCTTCTTTGTCCCAACATGCAGTATTTGTGGATGCCTACGGATGAAATTACAGATATTTTGTACTGTTAGCATGAGAGATGTAAAGTGTAAGTGTCAAAAACTAGATATCTTATTGCTTAGTAGTAAGCAGACTGTCATACAAGTGTACAGTTTCAACAAAAACTGTCAGAATTTATAATTTTGTTGCATGTTTCATGAAGGAAATATGATACCAACAAAGCTTAGCTAGAATTTATGTGAATCATAATATTATTCATATCCATTTCATTAGTGAACTTTAGGAAAATGTTAGGTCATAAAATAACACAGCTGCATGAGAATGGCTTAATAAAGCTAAATTATTTCATAAGTCATATTATCAGGGCCTCATCAGTATTTAATATATTCTCTATTATTTTTGACAGCTGTTTAAGATTAGTTTGGGTGTAAAACATCAATCATAGGTTAAAGAGCACATCAGTGTGGCATAAACTCTACTCTAGTGTGTGTAAAAGGAGAGGGAGGTCAGGTCCAAAGGGATCAAATGTAATGCAATTAGGATTTGTGTAACCAAAGAGTTTGTAGGGCCTAGGAAAAAAAATGTTGTGTTTCAGCCCTGAAAAAATTAGGGTCGGTAGGTACAATATAGGGATTATCTTTTTGTTTCTTTTTTTTTAGACTTCAACGATATCTATATAGACTTCAGTGATATCTATATACATGTAGAGAGTCCAACTTATTCAATACAGTTTAACAAAGTAAAACTTGCATGAGGACCCATGTCAATGCTAAAAAACCAATTGTACAACGTTTTATCACTCAGGTGTCAGATCAGGGAGCTAGAAAAGGTTGACCAGCTAGAAAAAAAATGGCCCTTGCAGGGGTCCACCCAAGAAAAAGTCTAGGGTGGATAGGTTTTTCTAGGGTCGTTTGGAAAACAGGAAACGCAACATTTTTTCCTATGCCTAGTATTAAACACAACTGGCAGGCAATAAGTCAATTGTAGACTTGTTTAGCTCATTTTTATGCACATTCACATGTTATAAGTTACGAGTTACATTAGGGAGTTGAACTACCATAATGTAGTTACAATGAGGTTGTCATTTTAGGTACTGTTAATCACTTTATATTCGTGGTACTGTATCATATTTGCAGTTTTTGTGGTCACTTCTATAGCGCAAAGTTATAATTAATGTGAACAAATAATTTGCCAACTTTCTTTTTGCTGCACCTGCTGCCAACGGGAACATATAGTTCCGCGAACATGTTCATTTTTATCGGACCGTGAAATTTTGCTCCGGCGAACATAAAGTGATTTACAGTATCAAGTTACAAGTTACATTACAGTTTAACATGAATGTAATTTCAGGCGTCACCACAGCAGATGAACAAAAATGTAATACTTACGTCACCCAATAAAACAAAATCCATACCATAATCCATACAAATCTGGTTGCTACGTAAGACTTAGTACTGTTTTGGGTGGCTGAGCGTCTGTCCAGACAGAGTACATTTGTAGGTTGACAGCACATGGCTGGGGGAAGATTGACAGACAGCATGACAGGAGGTTAAAAGGTCATACACAGGAAGGTCCTAAAAACCCCAAATACTTCCTAAGAGTCTAAAATTATCAGTTTATTGACCTGTTTTTTTTTCTACCGCTTTGATTTTCCAGAGAAGAGATGAAGACAGGAGGAGGATCCAGGAGCTGGTTGATGAGAACATGGCTCTGGATCTGGACAAGAGACAGACACTTAACGAGTCCTTAACCCTCGGGAGGGAGCTGGAAGATGCCAAAACCAAGAGCTCTTCAGGTATCTACTTGTTATGATTCTACTTTACACTGTTTACAGTACAGCCAATGGAGTACATTGTACATCCATAGGTCAAGTAGTTGTACTCAAGTGCTAATAATATGTAGTTGGAAAAGAAAAAAAAAAAGAAAAATCTGTGATGTGATTATGTAATAACAAAATGATAACCTGCAGTGTTCTAGCCAGCGTCAATCTTTTCTCCATTTGACGAAGTTTTGCGACTCACGATGGATGGAGATTTTGCCAAATCTGTTATTTTCGACAGACAAAAATTGGCGTATGAAGATATACATGTAGAAAGAGAAGTAGCTCAACTAAGCTTAGTTTATTAGCAAAATTGGCCCCAGAAAATGCAGGAAATGGATTTAAAATTTCACTTTTTATGGCCAGATTGTCGCATCTCTGGCACTTGACATGATGTAACGTCAAACAAAATTAATAAGATGACAGTAAAAAAAACAAGTGCTTCTGCAAAAGCTGACCATTTTCGCCGCTTACAGGCTTACAGTTTTTACGAACATTTTCCCCATCCTAGCATTTCAATTTACCTAAGTTATATAAATGGTTCTAGTTCTTATCAACATTGTATATAATGAGAGAACATGCACTTCTATATTTCAACTCTTTAAGTTACACATTACAAAAATCAAGTATATAACAGTTTATAACCTGTTTTCTCTCTTTTAAGAGTCTTTTTAACAGAATAAAAAAATGAGACACAAAAGTACATTTTAACTTAAATTATAAGTAACGTTAATATATATATATATATAATTTTATTCAAAATCTCTTCTATGGCTTTGTCCCCAACATCTAAGTTTACAAACCTCGTGACATTCAACCAGGGCTTTAGCCAGCGCCCGTTTTACCGTCAATTGACGGTATTTTTTCCCGTCGGACGGTAAAAATTTAAGTCCTTACCGTCAACATTGACGGTCAAAAATCGTGGGTGAAGACATTAAACTTAGCAAAAAATGTAGCGAATTTGAATGAGCCACGGCGCGGGGTCTTTCCAAAGCGCGTCGCGTCTTTCTCAAAAACGCCGCGGGCCCACACATTTCTTATTTAAATACGGCGGGAAACCTGACTTCAAGGAACGTGCCGATGTCTGTTAACTCGGTTCTTTTCTTCAATGTTGCTGTCTGTTTAAACAACATGTGCTAACGGCCACATAAGAACAATGGCTCGACTCAGACTCACGCTGGTAACTGTACATGACAATAAGATAAATAAACAACATGTGGCAACGAACAAAGAAATATCAAACGTTTTGAAAATATACTGTACTTGAATTTTCATACCATCGCAAGAAAACGGAGATCGATCTACGCAAAGTGGCTTTATTATTTATATAAACTTCGTTAAACCACCTTCGAAGACTTGAGCGGCAGCATAAAGATAAATTTTCTGGAGCCGATCGCTGAAGCAAGTTTTTGCTGGCGTACGTAACTACCTCCGCGGCAAAATCCCATATGCCGTAGCGAAATCGCGTCTCAGCACTTCCCCAAATCAACTCCATGGCCGCTAAAGTCTGCAAATGAGGTTAAACTTCCTCATTTCGGTTGAGAAGCGAAGCTACTAGTATAAAATCATGTGCATGGCGGCCATTTTGTTTGCTACCCGAAGTCTTCCGAATGATCTAAATAAGGAAATCGTCGGAAATCTGAGCCACATCCCTCGCTGTCGGCATGCGCTCGGGGCTGGCTCGGTGGAAATCGGAGGCTGTGGCGTCAGGACTAGGTTTATTTGCATGGCTCGGGAAGCCGCCGCGGCTTGAATCGCAGCGGGATTTGGGCGCCGGGCGGGTCAAACAAAGGGAATATGAAGTTGTGAGGACCATAGTTTTTTTCTTCATTCTTCAAATTGCAGATTGTGTAATTTTTATCCTGAAATCTTGAAAATCTATCTGCAAATTGCAGACTGAAGACGGGTATTTAGAACACCGAATACATGAAGTGTGCGGGGGGGCATGATGTCGATCACCGGATCAATGATTTTTTTTTCGCGTTGACCCTGATTCAACCCTAAAATGATACTCGAAGAGAACTTCAAAAGTCATCTTTTACTAATCATATATAATTGTTTACATTATATCATTTGATCAACCTGATCCATTAAAAATTGTCAATGGAAAATACCTTGCCAAACAATGCAATACCTATTTAAGTTAATTAAACACTCACTCATTAATTAATTAATTTCCTAAAATACAAAAGACATGTTGGTGAAAGTTAGGCACCCAGGTAATATCAATAGTTCCACGGACAGCTATGTAGGCCGGAGCTTCTATTGCGTGCGATCTACGTTTGGTCAGAAAATACACCACCCCCCCCCAACCACACACACACACACACAAAAACACCGATCCGGGAACGCCTGAAAAGGAGGCTTTTAATAAGCTTTGCCTGCAGCGCCTTGATTGGTCGGACGTGTGACCCTCTGGACTGCCGGCTAATGGAAATCTGAACATCTAGACTAATCCACACTGCTAATGCTCATTGACATAATTTAATGCAGTTTATTAAAAATCCTTGATTACTGTGATTATAGACATGTCTTTATCTAACATTTTTGGCAAATAATAAAATCAAGTTATTGTTCAAGACAAATTAAGTTTGTTTTGTCAGCAGCTTTGTTATGCAACATTAATAGAACTATGATTTTGAAATTAGCAACCATAATGGAAAGTATACAAACGTCCAAGGCATAAATGGTAAAAAGTGCACTCGCAACAACGACATCTAGCGACATGCGGCAACTCAGCATGTCTGCATGGCCGTCGCAACAACGACATCTAGCGACATGCGGTGACTTAGCATGTCTGCATGGCCGTTGAAGGGTGGAACCGTTGATCCATCCATCCGTTGATCCAATCTCAATCTCGTCTGAGTGGCGAAAATGGTAAAAAATTCAAACTGGCTAGAACACTAATAATCTGCATGTGGAATGGGTCTTGTATTTCTCCAAAGTATTAAGCATCTTTCCCCTAGTATGGCATGTCCTTGAATGCATGATGGTGAATGTTCTTCGGTATGTACTGTAGTTTTGATACATTAATGACTTGTAATCCATGATTGAGAATTCTTCCCTGTATTGTTTGATCTCGACTGCTTGAATGCGCTGACTGTTGCCCCCCTGTTCTCTGTTCCTTTTGCTGACAGGCTGGTCCTACAAAGGTATGTCCGTGCAGCAGTGATCCAAGTTTGTACAATGCTTTGCCGATGGTGCATGTGTGGGACCCACTAACAACAGTTTGCTTTTGCCACCTCACTAACAGACTACTGCATGTCCAGTTCTGTTTGTAGATAGATGGCAGATGCACACACTGCCAGACACTACTACAGTTTCTAAAACTTTCAGGGCTCGAAAAACTTTTCACTGCATTCACATTATAGGAAGTATTGATACTGAAATCCATTCTGAAACCATTGGCATTATTTCTTTTATTCTAAACCTGTGCTAACAGTCAATGCAGAAAATGAAAAATCTACTTTCACCTACATTTGTATGATAACTATGAAAGTAGCACATGGACCAGTACAAGTTAGGTGCAGCTAAACATCAGAAATACCTGCACGGCCCCAATTTTACCTGCACTAAAGTGCTTATACAGGTATTTCGAGCCCTGAAAATGGTCTTCAGTCTGGATTTACTATTGCCTGATGGAATGCTAAATGATAGCAGGAATGGTTGTTGGTCTTGTCATTGCATGAAACTTGGATCTTCAGTTAAATCAAATGTAAGTGTAGTAGAAAGATAATTTGGGTGGTAAGATACACACAGTAGAGTAAAATTATGTAAAACATGCTTTTGCCTTTAGGAGCCTACTCACATCTGTGCAGCAGATTCAACAGTTCAACATGTTTCTAACAAACTAAGGCCTAGGAAAAAAATGTTGTGTTCCAGTTTCCCAACCAACCCTGGCAAAAAGCCTCTGATCGGTCGACCCTAGCCGCCTCTTTTTTTTTGTCTGCTGGCAACGTCATGAAATTTTTTATGTGACATTTGAATTTCAAACCCTGGAAACACAACATTTATTTTCCTAGCTACAAATGTATAGACCTAACCAACAGCTAGTTTCTCTCCCCTCCTGTCTGTGACTGCATGTGACAGCGAGAGCTGGTGTATCACGAGGGCGGTCTTGTCTTTCCTTCACGTCTTACCGTACAGCGTTGTGTCCGCCATGACAGGTTACTACCCGCTGGCGGCGGAGTGTAACGAGTCAGCGACCAGTCGCGCCCTGCGTCTGGAGAAGGAGAACAAGAGACTGGTGCAGGAGATGGAGGAACTGAAGGAACAGATGCACCACTCCGACTCCAGCAATACAAGGTACAATGTACAACAGTTTTTAAAGTTAAAACTTTTGGTCCAACACAAAAAGTTCTCTCACCTAGAGCTTTTGACCAGTCACTCTGGTCTTCCTCAGTAGACTGACTCAGTGAGGCTTGTCACATGGCTTCTTTGAAAGGTGACGTCAAAGCTGTGTAAACTGCATATTAGACGATTGTTAACTGCATGTGTGTGGCTATCTATAACGCATATTAACCACATGCGATTACACAAACATCTACCGTAGTACAGGCATTGTAAGAAAACAATGATTTAAACAAGAAGTGGACACACTTTTTAACACATCTTAATGCCACAGCAAGTAATTTTTATGGATGACATCAGCGTGCGCATTAATTTTCGCCTGATTTTGGAGGGGAAAAAAAGAAAGAAATTTGCCTTCTGACAGTGGTCAACAATGCTGAAAATTGGCAAAGATGTCTGTTGCCATGCCGGAAGGTGGATGGCAGATAACTATGAAGAGAGGAGACAAGAAAAGGCTCTGATTTAATGTTTTATTTCTTACTTTGATGTAGTGATATGTGATGGTACATGTAGCTGTGTATATGTGATGTTCCCACTGAATCATAACCATTTGTACAATGATTAAGTCAAAGTTTTAAATTGTAGGTACCTCGTTTTTTTCGGCCCACCCTGTTTTTTTTTTTGTTTGTTTTTTTCGCCGCTCGCATTAGATTTGGAGTCTGGGAAAGATTTCATTACTAAAATTTACTTGCTGTGGCCTAATTAAAAAATGCATGGCTTCTATAAAGTTCTAATCACATTTTGCACACGTGTAGATGGGAAGTTAACTCAATATCTGTACTCTAAATTTGGGGCAAGGTACACATGTAGGACCTGTGTGCCAAATTAAAATGAGAAGAGTACATTTAATTTAGTTCTGTAACAACTTTCCTGGGACCACCTATATAGTAAACGACATCTTCATGACTACATGATGGTAGATACACTTGTGGTTTGGACCCACATGTAATGTAATTGTCATTGATTGTCAATAACATCTCATTTTCAAACCTGGAGGCTGCTCCAGCATTAATTGCTGCTCGACCCTCAGGTCTATAATAATGGATTACTACTATCATCAAGAAGTACCCATAATCTGTCACGCTGCCTCGTGGGAAATTAGATCTAGGAGTGCCAATTTTTAATGCCCGCTAGATCTTGTATTGAATACTTTCTGCATGCTATTTTCACTTTTAATTATTAAGATTTTGAAGGAGGTAAAGAAATGCTGTTTTGGTTGTTGACAAAAATAATGAACATGTATAATATTATAACAGACTGAGTATATTTACTGTGTCATTGACTTGGCAATGTATTAGTGCAATGTTTAAACCCAAACAGTGTCATTTACACATACAGTATATATCAATGTTACATAATTATGCACATATCATCTCATTCGCCTTTACCTCAACATATTACATGTATGTATGTCATATGCTAATGCCTTTAAAAAAACTAAGGAAAAACTTTGTGTGTAATAGTCTTGAAAAAAATTCATGTGGGGTTTTGAGGTAGGAATTCTGTTTTATTTTTTTTTCTAGAGTTTGGCTGAACTGATCCAAGAAGTATAGTTGAACTCTGTAAAACTGAAATGCGTTAGGCCTCCAGGACCTGTGTCTGTTTGCTTGTGGGGGAGGGGAAAATATTTCTGACTGATAAACTTTTAAAAATTGCTTCCGTAAATGTGTGAAATAACATTTCAGATGGTTTTGAAGTTCAGATGTCAGATAAAAAAGTTATGTCCCTTGCCATTCTTTAACCCCAAAAAAAGGCTTGGTTGTTGACTTTTTTGCTAGGGTCTATTGTGAAACCGGAAATTTTTGTTCCCATGCCTAACTGTAAGCCTTTTCCCCCATGCAGAATGACAGAGTTGGAGAAGGAGAACCAGCGTCTGAGTGAGAAACTGAAGCGTCTGCAGGACAGCGCCACTAAGGAGACACAGAGTCTACTGGACCTGGAACAGTTCAGCGACGATCTCATCAAGGATAAGGTCAGTTTCACAGTACCGTACGTACTTAATAGTAGCGTGTATTAAGTAGCATGCATACAGTGGTTAGCAGCCCTGTTTCTGGACCAAGAGGTTGGGAGTTCGAATCCCAGCTGTTGTGCTCACCCAACATGCACACTACTGGAAAGGGTCACGGTCCTTAGGACGGGATGCCTCTCCACTGTTCATTTGTACCTGTTGGAAAGAGCTAGGGGAAATACTGTAAGTATATACAATGTAGTAAGTGTTTGTCTTCTCAGTTATGATGATTTTAAGAATAATAGACCATCTCTCTATCTTGTCTGTCATGATCAGTGAGTTTAAAAACACCTCTACACCAGATAGTATTTCTTACTGTGTTTCAAATGTTTTTCCCCAGTCTGTTTGAAAGTGGTATGATAAACAGTTGTACTTATTCTAAAGAATACATGATTGTATGCTTGAAAGACTTTTTGGTGAGGTTTTAGAGTTTGATTCGAAGTGATGTCAATCATTTGAGAAAACACAACAGTTTTATTTTTGTGCCTTGACATGCTACATCAAGTTCAATTTAGCCCTGTATTACGAAAATTTGTGGCTGAAATTTTCAAATGAAACCTTTTCCTGTACACCTCTACAGGCTCAGCTTGAGCAGACATTAGAAACAGTGAAGGAGAACAGTGAGCGACAGATCAAAGAACTGGAGAGAGAGAATGAACAGCTTCAACAGACGATAAACACACTCAGGCAGAGAACGCAGGTAAGTCATGCAGCACTTAAACTGTGGCTATAGTTGCATGCATATTGGCAACTGCAAGCTCCATTTTAGAACTAAAAGCGGTGGTGAGACAAGGATGAAACTTGTGCAATGCTGGAAATTCTGTGCAATACGTTGGTGACTAATTTTATCAAGTTGGTGAGGGTTTTTTTTTTACAAGTTCTTTATTTACAACTACTTGTTTAACAAGAGCCGATGTACATGTATACATTGTACAACAATGTTTACATGTACATGTATGTATGTCACAATTACTTACACATACATGTGTGACTGCATTGTTAGCGGTAACACCAAGCTTCAGTGCACTGTGAAGCAGTCATAATTGCCCTGATGAAGATGACAGATGGTCATCAAAATGTCAGCTCTTGTTAAACAGGTGGTTGTGAATAAAGAACTTACTAATAGCTTTTTTGTGCAATACAAATTATTGGTTCCCAACATCTTTAGCTGGTATTTGTGAAGCATGGTTTCTAAAGTATGCGACAGTCTGCTTTTGCTATTATTAGTTTTAACCTGAACTAACTTATCAGATTTAATAAATCATTTTATAACAATAACATAGTAGCCTTGGTGCCATCCTAGATAGTTATTTTGTTGTGGTTAAAGCTTGCCTAGAATGGCACCCAGGCTACTGTATTATTGCTGTTTATTTCTTATTCCTAAAAACCATTGAATTTCCTAAAAAAATTATCCACTTTTGTTTTCTGGGTCCTTTCTACTATAAAGATCTTGATTTTCTTGTCTAATATTAGTAACATTTCCGTGTTCTTTCACTAACATTTCGGACGTTCCCTGTGTGTGTGTGTGTGCAGATTTCTTTAGACGCTCGCGTCAAGGATATCGAGAAGGAAAACAAGACGTTGCACGAGAGCCTGCGGGAGAAGACCAGCACGCTCTCTCAGGTGGAGCTGGAGAAGAAGCAGCTGAGTCGACAGTTCGAGAGAATCCGGGAGAACGCGGAGAGGGCGGAGGAACTGGAACGGGAGAACACGAAAGTCGGCAGGGAGAAGGAACACCTCCAGAGGACGATAGAAACGCTGAAGATCTCGTGCGAGAACTTCGACCAGCTAGAGAAAGAGCACCACGCAATGGAGAAGGAGCACAGGAAACTGAAGAAGGAGGTCGACGGTTTGAAGACGAAGGCGGAAAAGTTCGACGAATCCGAGAAAGCCAACATCCAGCTGAACGCGGAGAAGCAGCGGCTACAGAGGACCATCGAGAACCTGAAGGGCACGGGCAGCAAAGTGTCGGAGATCGAAGAAGAAAAGGAAGAGCTCGAAAAGGAAAATCACCAGCTGAAGAAGATGCTCACCACCTCGAAAGAATCCGTCCAAAGGCTCGAGGAAGACAACTTGAGGTTGGACACCCAGAACCAGAAGTTGACAAAGTCGCTGGACCAATCCAGTAGGAAGGTCGAGGATCTTCGGAAGGAGAACACAGAGCTGGAAACGGAAGGCCAGAGGCTTCAGAAGAGTCTGGAAAACATGAAGGCGTCTGGAAGGAAGCTACAGCGGCTAGAGAAGGACAATCGCGACCTGGAGACGACAAACACACAGCTGGAGAGGAGTCAGAAGCAGTTGGAAAAGGAGAACAAGAGATTGAGGCAGTCGATGGACATGAAGGAAGGCATACTGGAGGACAGCAACACCAGGATAGCCGCTCTGGAGAAAGAGATCAGGCACATGCAGAAGGACAGGGAGAGGAGTAAGGATACGGACAGCAGGATTCAGGAGTTGGAGAAGGACAACAAGGATCTACTGAAGCAGACCACGATGGACAAGAAAACGCTGGCGACACTGCGGGAGGTGAGATATTGCTGCAGACACCTGAATGTGCAATGATCACTGATGTGCTGATTTTTTTTCTTGCACGCTTTTAACTTTTATGTCAGGGTAGAGACTCTGATCTGGTAGAATTATTGATGATTCTACCATTAGAGATCCTGATCGGAGTGCCTGCCAGGAGAATTGGAGATTCTATCATTAGAGATCTCAATTGGAGTCTGTAAATTTTGCAATATTTGCTTGAAAGACAGTGCAGAACGTTTCAACTTTGATTCATGTCATTTTAGATCAATGAATTGACTTGAAATTTAGGATTTGTATATTGTAAGAGGAGAAACCATTCGCACACATAATCATCATAATAATAATAATAACAGTATCCTGATAGGAGACATAGACTCTGATCGGTACCGGTAGAATTGTACCAGATCGAAGTCTCTACCCTGACATATGTTTTATTCTCTGCAATAATATCTCTCTCCTGTTGAAGAAAGTTGCCCTGTTAACATGACTGATGCTTACCCTATAAATTACCTGTCGGTCCCAAAGCCATGCCAAGATTGCTCCATTTTTCAAGAAAGCAACAGTACGCCGCGCTGACAGATTTTAGCTGCCGCTTTAATCACTCTAGCAACAGGGGGGCCGTGACAAATAGACTGTGTACAGTCTAACATCATGATTCAGCTCAATTTTTTTTGCCAACCGGACACTGTAACCATTTGAATGCTTGATTGAGTACCCAAGGGTAAAGCCCTAGGTGTTCTTACATGGTGTTAAACCATAGGGGCATTGAGATTCGTAGCCAAGTCTTGTCTCTGATGCTTTGGATCTAGAATCACACGAGAGATTAGTACAAATTTACCTTCAGGAACTAAAAGCCAGCAGGGACCACAATCAATAGTGTTACAGGAATCAGTGTCTGTTGTGGGATGTAGATGTTACATTGTCTCTTATAGGACTTAATTACATTGTACTGTGGTCACATTCGATTGAGCTTTAGAATGCTAAGGTAGCCGTTTGGCACCAAGTTTGTATTGGTTATGGGGTTAGGCAGCAGGGAAAGGGTTAAACGTCAGATGAAAAAAATAAGGATGCACTCGATTACCCAATGGATGGGATTGAGTTGAGGGAGTGTTTTTTGCCAGCAGTGATTTTTTTCTCTTGCCAGTTAGCAGGAAATGTTCCTAAATGTAAATTTAAATAAAGTAAACTGTTAAAGATTTTCAGAACTACGGTAAATTACTTTATGTTCTCACAAAAGTTCTCGGTCTGAGAAAGACTAGTCTTGTTTGTGGAAATATACATTCGTGGTGATGGCAGGTGCAGCAAAAAGAAAGTCGGCAAATTATTTGTTCACGGTACTGATAAGTTTGCAGTACTAACATAAGTGACTGTAAAAATCGCGAAATGTACTGCGAAAAAATTGGGATTTACAGTAGTGACCATGAAAACCGCAAATATAAAAGTACCGCAAAAAAAATTGGGATTTACAGTATTCTCTAGCTATTGACAGTCAGAAACACTTATTTGTGTTGGTTGTGTATCTGAGTTACAATTCTGATTGTTTTGTTTGACCCATGCAGGAACTGGTGAACGAGAAACTGCACAACCAGCAGCTGACCAATGAGCTGGAGAAGCTGGCAGCAGAACTGGATAAGATCGGTCTGAACAAGGAGAAACTGCTGCAACAGGAGCACTCACAGGACGAGAGGTGGGCACAGCACACAGCATATATGTCTGTACAAATATATAAAAATACATTGTAGCGCTAATATTTTGTACAGATTTATGGATTGACTAAAAAGAAACTAGTGTTCTAGCCAGCCCGAAATGTTTTCTGTCATCTCAATTTTTGTTTGGACTAACATCATGTTGAGCACCAAGTCTTACAGGCTCTGGGGACAAGCCTCCATGAAAATTTTAAAATCTTGATCCTATGACACACTATTTCCTGCTCTTTGAGAAACAAATTTTGCTGGTAGACTAAGCTCAGTTTAATGACGTCTCTTTCCATATCTTCTTTTTTTAACAAACAAATTTTTGTCTGCCATGAGCCTCAAAATTCTGCCAAATGATGGAAAGATGGACGCTACCTAGAACTGAAAGAAACTGATATAAGTTATTAATGGCTTTAAGAGATTTATAAAAGTCTGTGCTTCTATATTGTAAGGTTTTACTCTGGATTGAGTGAGACTCAATAGTGCCTGGGCTGGTCTGACAATCTCTGTGCTATTGTTTTGTCAAAATAAGTTTGTGTGAAGAAGTGAGACCACTAACTTACCAAATGTCCCCCCAGTCGCTGGAAGGCCCTGGAGTCCCGTATGGAGAGTGAACTGAAGAAGAGTCTGGAGATTAAAGAGGAGAAGGTTCACGCGCTGGAGAGTCGTCTGCAGGAGTCTGTCAACAGGTCAGGCGGTTGGATAGTTTTTGATCTAATGCTGATAAATAAACAACAGACCCTCTTTGGTCTGTATTGTCTATAGTAAAATCCTAAGGCTACTGATTGGTATAATGCATAAATGGAAAATTTGTTGGTTGAAACTTCAGGACATTTTAGGTTCATGTAAGACTTAGTTACTTGTGTATTCTTTGTTTATGTTTCATGTTTCTTTACTGCATTGTTTGCAAATATTAATCAGATGTTGGGACCATATCTTGAAATGTTAATAGTGGTGTTTTTGTGATGACTTCTCCACCATTTGTAATTTGTATTACTTAACTGTACAACCACAGAATTGTTTGAACTGTGTACTTAAAAATGCATACATGTAAAAACCTCCTTTCCCTTCGGAGGAGAAAGTAAGTCTCTGCAACAGTGAATTGATGTAATCAAATTATCATCACCATCATCGTCATTTAATCACATCCAAGAAGGGTTGACATAACTGTCAGTCTTACAGCTTTGATTTGAATATTCGGTAAACTGTGTAGGAATCAGAAGCTGCGGGAAGAGTTGCGGACCCTGCGGCGGGAGCATGAGGCCCTGCAGCAGAAGTACGAGGAGGAGCAGGGCTCCAGCCCGCCCAAGGTCACGGTCAGACGCACCACTCAAGGTGAAACCACCAGGGAACTCATCAAGATGAAGGATCAGGTCATCGAGTTGGAAAGAAATGTAAGTCATTTTTCCTTTCCACACTTGCTCATTTTTATATTTGTTTTCCCAGAAGGAAGACATTGTTTTTGCTTGGTTTCTTCAGCTTCTTCGCCAAACACAAAAGGTCAATGAGCTGGACCAGGCAGCTGTCACCATGGAAACTGGTGCTGTAGCAGACACCCTGTGGTGTTGGATTTACATTATGTAGCAAAGATGCAGGACAGAGTTGGAGGGGCTGGTCACCATGTACAATGTGTATCTAGATGAATGTGTTTGAGTAGTAAATGGAGTACTAATTTGTTAGGCTAGACAAATTTTTATGGTGAACACTGCGTTTGATTTGCAAATGTTACGTTACTAGTTTTAGCACAGTTTTTATGATGGAAAATCCTTGTAATCAAGGATGTTCCATACCTTTGTTACTTTATTTGCCTGTGCACACATGACAGTACGTGGTAGTATTAAATTTGAAAATCTTACAGCCTGTAACAAAGGTCTTAATGTTTGCTTTCAGAATGCCAAATTTGAGACGGAAAACAGCAGCCTAAAACAGCAAAGTAGAAGCCTAGAGTCCCAGTGCAACAAGCTGCAGCAGCAGGTGTCCTCTCTACAGTCCCACAATGCCTCTCTACAAGGGCAGAACAGCAACCTGCAGTCCCAGAATGCAAAGCTGCAAGTCGAACTCTCTACACTGCAATCCCAGAAGTCCTCGGTGACTTCGGAGCACACCAAACTGCAAACTCAACATTCCCAGGCGGAGACGCAGTACAGGTCTCTCCAGAAAAGGTACGACGACATGAGGAGCGAACACACGGCTCTGCAAAAGGACTTTGAGAAGCTGCAGAAACTTCACCACACCCTCTCCTCGGACAATGAAGCCATGGCTTCGGAGCACAGCATGCTGAAGTCCAACTTTAAGATCCTGAAGAGTGACAACAAGAGGCTGGAGGACCAGTACAACTCACTTCTGAAGGAGAACGAGGGTCTGAAGAAGATGAAGTCCACGTTTGAATCAGTCAGGTCAGAGGACAGGTCCCTGGCTGCTGTCAAGGCAGATAATGAAAGGTAGGGTGTTACATGTAGATTACATGTAGTTCACTTTTCTTAGTTACATTTTTTGGCAATGCCTCAGGTGCAAGCTGTATAGTATCACTTGTCAGGTGTTAACCCCAAAAACAACAACAAACACAACAGTGGGTCATGCAGTGCCCCTATGCTATATAAACAAAAAGATCATTTGATTTACTGTTTGGCAACATAAATGAAACATAAAACACACAATATTGTGGGTAACTTTGTACGTAAACACCACAAACATTAAATCAAGGCAATAGCATGATTCGCCTTTTGTTTGTTCTTTTGTACTAATATTACTCTGATGTCTGTATCTTTATTTGACAGGGCTTGTCGCCACTTAGTTCTCCCTTAGTTAACCTCGTAATCAGAGAATTTGTAGCCAAACGGCTACTTCAGTGTGCTGAGGGTTAGACAAAGGCTCAACCACCTTACCTCGCCCCCCTCCCCCCCAGGTTGCAGGCGACCAACAGGAAGCTGACAGCAGACTACCAGGACCTGCAGACGGACTACAAGAGTCTGAAGCAGACGTACAACAGTCTGCAGCTGGAGCACACCAAGCTGGCCGGAGACATGAGGGACCTCCAGTCTCAGTACATGCAGATGGACATGGCAACATCCAAAATGGAGGGCAGATGTGAGGTACATGGTTGGGATTTAAAGACAGTTTTTAGGGCTTAGAAACCCGATATTTCAAAGCCAATATTCTTGTCATTTATGTACATGCTGAGTTGAAACCACACAGTCCCAGTTTGTATATTAACCCTCATTGAGCAAAAATTCCTACAATTCTGATAGAAAATGGTTTGACTGGAAGGGTAAATGCCCAAAGTATGAAATACTGATTTAAATATGCTAACATGAAGCAGTAATTGTGTCGATATCACAAAGATTCCCTCATTCAGAATATTTCCAGTTTTGCTGCCCTGAAATCGCATTGGATGCCTTTAAATTAAAGTCCTTACAATAGCATGAAAGTTCATCTTTGCTGGTACAAGACAATAGAATAAGGACTCAACTTTCTCCCCCAACACTAAAATGAATTGGGAAAGTTACCCCAAATTTTTGGCTGACTCCTCCAACCTTCAACCGAATGGACCCGTCTACTCTTGGAACGTGACGTCAGAGACACGTGACCATAGTAGCGGGTCATATGTGTCAGATAACTTGTGTCACCCCCCGTCTCTTGTTCGGGGTAGGTTTGTGAGCTCTAAGTAGCTTTAATCCAGTTATCAACAATATTCAACACGAAGGAATTTGATGCGGTTCCATTATTGGCAGGAATTAGGCCTTGAGCAGACCCAACTCAGAGTGGTCACGATCACCTTGGCCAAGTGATCACCTTGGACAGGTTGCTTAATGCTTGTGTCAATGGGGAAAATATTACGCACAGAGAAGAAGCAGTCACCATGGCCAGGTGGCCAGCTTGAAGAGGTGGTCACGTTTGTACTGGTAAGTAGTCCTGCTGACCTCTATATGTTTCCATGTGATTGACAGATGCTGCAGCAGCTAAACCGTACCCTGGAAGAGGAGAACAAACAGCTGATGTCCCAGCTGACAAAGTTACTGGAACAGAACCAGGAGCTGTTGGCACAGACCCTGGAGAGCAAGGAACAGTTCCACGAGGAGGAGAGACAGTTCTCGTGAGTCTGGCTTCTTAAGTTTGTCTGTGACAGTGTCTAAGTAATGGTATTTGTTAACTTAGGGCAATACTCAAAATATACATGTTGTGGGAAAACATGACAACCACCTGTTGATTCAGTAAGGGTAAGATTTCACCAGCTTGAGCAGTATGGAAGATTTTGATGAAAACCATTCTTTTTATTCTACTGGAGAAGGAAATTTCATATTCTTGTAGTTTATGAAGATAGTTTTAGTCGTGTTTGCGATGCCTAATAGTATGATATCAGAGCTACATTTGTATATGTGGATAAAAAGTGCTTTTGCTCCGTTTCTTCTAAGAAATAAGGTCATTGACCTAGACCAAATGGCTGTCACCATGGTAACTGGTGCTGTAGCAGACACCCTGTGGTGTTGGATTACATTATGTAGCAAGTTGCAGGACAGATGGTCACCATATATCGCATATGGATGTGTTCGAGTAAGAATATACAGAGCATTAGTTTGTTAGGTTAGCCCATGGGAAGATAAACATTAAATATTGCATTTGCTCTGCAAATGTTATCTTTCTAGTTGTGTTTGGCATATTATTTTGTCAAAGACAGTTGTTTTAACCGTCTGGACGTTGGTGTTGCAGTGACAAGTTGAACGAGTTGCGGAGACAGAAAGAGAAACTGGAAGAGAAGATCATGGATCACTACAAGGGGTATGAACCATCACCTCCCAGGAAGAAGGGCTTCAAATTCTTCAACAAGTTATCAGCAGCAATGAGTAGGGTGGGTATTTGTGTTGTTTTCACGTCTTTGCTTTAAACTTGCCCTCTTTGCAATGAAGAAATTTTACACCTCGTATCACTACATAATGTTGATTATTACTACTAACAGTATTACTACTAATAATGGTATGTGTAATAATTAATAATTAGTACTTATTTTGTCTTATATCAGCTGTAAGATGGTCTGAAGGAGTCGGACCAACTCAGACTGCAGCTTGTCAGGCTCAAACCAAGAAATGTCAGTCCCTAACTGACTCTGGGTCTACAGGGCTCGAAATACAATGTACAGGTAGAAATTTTTGGAGCTGTGCAGGTATTTCTGATGCCTACCTACACCTAACCTGAACTGAACCTACACCTAACCTGAACTGAACATACACCTAGCCTGAACAGTTACTGGTCCATATACATGTGCAGGTTTTCAGAAAACAGTATTTCGAGCCCTGGTCTAGGTGTTGGCCTGACTTGGTTACATTGTAGGTGTTGACCTGTCCAAGTTGACAATGTTTTGATCTATCCTGATTTCCATTAAAACTATCCATGCACAGACAACCAAGGCACCGAAGGAGAGGGGGGACAAGAAGGCGTCCAAGGTGAGCATGTCTGACCACGTGGACGGTCAGGGCGCTGAGCGGTCCGACAGTTCCTCCATCGGCTCGTACGGCGACTCCCTGGACGGGTCAGCGGAGAACACCAACACGCAGAAAAGCAACAACCAATCAGGTGAGAGGCATGGCGAACGGAAACATTTACTATTGTAGCAATCATTTCTTTGTGTAGAATGTAACTGTAGTCGTTGAAGGTTAGGCAAATACACAGGAAAACATTTACTCAAGCAACTGGATACTGTAATTCACTTTGAGTTCACGGTGGCAAAATTTCACGGTGAGGAAAAAATCAAGGTGTTCACGTACTGATATGTTCACGGTGGCGGCAGGGGAAACTCAAAAGAAAGTGGGTGGAGGCGTGAAGCGCTGCAGTCCCCGGGAATCCCCCATATTTCATCGGTCCGCACATAATAAAGTCCAAATATTTTTCACGCAAGATCGCCGGCTATGTAATTTTTTAGCAAAATGCTACGGTGGTTTGGGGTCAATATTTCGTTATTTGCAGTTAAAAATTCACACCAAACCGATGGCTCGCGCTGAGAACCTCACTGATTTGTATCGTATTAAACGCGAAGGACCAGACATCGAACTGTTTGATTTTCACTCGGCTATTCAAAGACGAACTTGTAAAATACATGTTCAAAAACAAGAAAAGTTTGTTTCCCGGTATTTATCTCTTGAAACACGGTGCTGATCATGAATAATTTGACGTCGCAAAATTATTTCGTGCGCCGCGCACCCTCCCCCATGCAAATCCCGCGTCACGTGCCCGTATTTCGCGTCTCTGATTGGTTGTTGCGTCAAGCAGCAGGGACGCCGGCGGTAGAATTTGAGCCAGCCGAGGCGCTTGTAAACAACTTTTCTTTGTCTAAATATAAGCGCTAAAATGCTCTTTTTCACAACCACACATCGATATTCTAGTAAAGAAATGCATAGTTCCAAGAATATTTCGGGGAAATATATATTTCTATGCGGATTTTTGGCGTTTTCGACGTGATTTTGGTGAGCACTTTTCCCGGAAGTACGGGCCTCGGCGTGGGTTGTCTTGTACCCACGCTAAATTTTTAGCGTATTTACCCTGCGTTTTACCAATCAAAACAATAAAGAACTCCCGCTAAGGAGAACCCAGTAACATTCTAGATCCCAGCAATTCTGGTTTTGATCAAATAATTTGTGGATGTGCCCGCATTTTATGGGGATGGGATAAGCGACCTCACGCCGTGACCAGGCCGGGCCGTGTAACGTTACGCTAAGATTTTTGTACGCAGTTGACTCGGCTTGACACGCTATTCGGTGTCTCATAATACATGATTGTATGATTTCTAATATTAGTTATAGCATTATAATAATTTTGATACTCAACAGTAGCTCATTTGTTATCAAATATACGGAACATCGTTACATGAAAAGCGTAAGACGGGAATAATTTATTGCTGTTCGGGGCGAAGGAGTGTTAGCGGTTTGATGAGTTCACGGTACAGAAGTGACCGTGAAAACCGTGAACATATCAGTATCGTTAAAAAATCAGTAATTACAGTAGATTTTGAAAACTGTCAGACGTTTCAAAATACACTGTAGCATCCACTACTTTTCGTCTGTGACTTATGAAAAGCATTGTCTTGAAACGTCTAACAGTATTCAAAATCCATCCAGTTGCTTGGGTAACTGTTTTCTTGCGAGTATTGTAGTATTAATGATTTTGAGAGTCAGTGTCAGTCATAGTAGTTGAGTTTCAATATCCATGATTCCTTACATTGACATGACTTCGATTTTGGTAAACTACATGTAGTACTGTGGTATATTTGAAGCACTATTGTTGAACATGAACAATACATCACATTCCACAGATTTCATTGCCATGAGGCGATCTCGGCCTAAAGTCAAGCGCAGGGTAACATGTAAGAACCAGCTTTACCCAACAGTGTTGTGGCCTGCTCCTCATTGCTTTACTGTGTGCAGGACTACTTGTACTTCCTAACAGTGTGCGTTTGGTGTACCGTGGGAGTGTGTTACATCTCAGGGTATCCTTGGCAATCAAAAAATATATGGACAGTTCTCATTCAAACTCTACTACTGGATAAATTACGGAGATAATTTCCGGACGTTTCTAACCTTCATAAACATAGCATGTGGACAGTTGTCTCCATCCTGGGATGGTTTTTGGTGATGTTGTGTGGACATTAATAAGAGGGAAAATTCTTTTCTAGCTATGATTATCAAGGTGTCATACATGAGTCATCTGTAGCCCTCACCTTACTAAGTAGTTTGTAAGAGAGCATATGAGTTCAGTGCATACAGGTTTTTCCCCTGGTGGTTGGAACCATGGTCATTTCATTCTACATCGGTAAAGGTTTTTTTTATTGGCAAACTTGACCCATCAGTCATTGACCCCTGCCTCCGTATGTGTGTGTCTATATTCCAGTTTCTGCTGGAGATTTTCTTGAGTCTCCCCGCTCCCCAAGAAGTACGAGTAGCAGTCCCCGGAGAGTCACCACTCTGAAACGTTCCATGTCTCAGGCCATCGTGGACAATTACATTGACATGGGTGAAACATTTGTTATGTCTGTGTTACGGGATAGAGCAAGCCTTGGTCAGCTAGCACTGACAGTATCTTTTCTGCAGGTGGTGGGACCTTTAGTTAAGCAGATCGTAGTCTTTCCCTTTGATTAACTGGAGAATTCGTGTGGGTCTTGCCTCGTACGGTTCTCCAATCAATGCTGATGATTCCGTAATTGGGTTGCTGGTGATAGAGTCTCGAAGAAGCATGAATTCTAAGGAACTTCTCTTTAAAATTCCTTCTTTTCAGGAAACACTACATGGTGATGGCCACTGAATTTCGCGACTATTCTCTTCCGTCATTACTAATAGCATGTTTCGAATTCCCAGGTCTGCATTTCAATAGTTTAGTGTAAAGAAATTCTACATGATAACAACAGACTACAGAAGTGCCACCAGGTGCTTGTGATAGTTGGAATAGTTGTAGTCTCCTCTGACTAGCCGCATGTCTCTGTCACACCAGTGTTTAAGAGCAGGAGAACCAACCTGAGGAAACACAAGTACAGGAGCGAAACCGTCCTCAACACCATCTTGAGGGACGAGAAAGAAGAACCCCAGCCAAAGGGTGATTGCTTAAGACCTTCTACTTTGGGTTAAGGTTTCGGGTGGCAAAATTCAGTTCCACATTCCCCCCCTCCCCAATCTTCCTGTAGAAGCTCGTTAAAAAAATGCCTCCGTGCAACCCCCCTTCACATAGTGAACCCTTCCTTAATGCCCTTTTCTCCATGAAGAAGATGCATTTAATGCTGTAGTTATCTGCACTTCTCAGTTATTAACAGTTACTTTTTTCACATTTTACAAATATGCCACGTAGTGTAGCTAGCAAATGTAGTCTAGCTAGCATTAGGGACTAACCGTATTTGCCTTGTATTCATACATAGAATCTTCTGCGATTCTTCTGTTCGTCAGGCTTACTTCTGTGTTGTTCGTACATGTACAACAATAAACGGACGTCTTGTTTCCAGCCTGAACCATTCTGCTTGACTCAGTAGATTTGTATCATCCTGTGTCTCCTAACAAAAGAACTGTCTCTAGTCCTGTGTCTGTATTTCTGCTCTGTTTCATCAGCCTGCATTTCACACAGCTATCTGTGCAGCATCTTGACATTGGTCAGTGTTCCTACATTGTACATTCATCCGGCCATCGTGACGTCCAGTCTCCCCAGCCTCCCTCTGTCCTCAGGCCACCCTCACGGATGACCCTCAAGCCGTCCTAACGTTATGTTTTCTTACGATGGGTTGTCTTACAGACAAGAAAAAGAAGAGGGTCCGTGTCCTGGACGACAACAAAAAAGCGCTGTCCAAAAGTCTGGACGACATCGATGAGGAATGCAACAGAGACAGTGGCATAGGTCTCTTGGCAATGTTTACTTATCAAAAAAAAGAAAGAATTAAACGAGATAATGATGGTGGCAGGGTGGACATTGTTGTCTGTAAAGTTTGTTGAGAAAAGACAATAACTTGCTTACTAAAGAACCGTCCATGCTGTAGTATAGGTACCCACTGCAGGTAACAGCTGCAATAATTGCTGTTAATAATATCACTGGTGGGACAAGCCAGCAGAATGTACTGCACCTATGTGAAATCCATAATGTATTTTGCTTGGCACTTTCGTAGAACGTCTCGTTTCAGGTTTTTTAAGGATGACGTTCCATCTATAGTTTTCAAATGTTCTGTTGGAAAAGATACCGCAAAATTCTGATTACAACGTCAAATTACAACGTCAACAACAACTGTGAAAAATCTGGGTTTTGCGCAGGACTGGTGCAGTACGTTCTGCCGACATGGTTGCTGGTGGTGTGTTTGTAAATCAGCAGTGGTTCTTTGTTCTAACCCTGTAAGATTCTCCACTATATCCCACAAAGCTGGGACTGTATTGTACTTACCCTGCACCATGATCCATATTGCAGACTACGAACCCTACCCGTTGAGAGACAGGAAACAGAAGTACAGGAGCGAGCTGGTGCTGTACCGCACCTCGTACCCTTGGGACTATGAAATTGGTGAACGTCTTACGTCGTTTTCATGTACATGTAGTAGCCACGGCATGCTGGGGATAAGGTCTATAACACAGGCAATAGCGAGGTTACATTCAATACTAATGCATGTACACTAAGTATATTACAGAACACTGAAAACACAATATAGATCGATGTAACACTTAAAATACTAAATGCATGCTTCATCTCATTTCTGTAGGTGTTCAACCATCATTAACTAACCAGCTAAATGCGCCTATTCTTTCATTATTATACTAAAGCATGTTTTTTTAAAGCGGCATGTTCTCTCTCCAGAGTCATCATCATCATCTAGACCCAGGCCGTTGCAGGAGCGGCGGAACCATTACCGAAGTGAGGAGTTCCTGCACAGACGCTCCATGCCCGCCCTTGATGTGATCAGTGAGAATTTCTGTAAGACATTGATTGGCCACGATTTACGTCAAGTGTCATGCACCAGCTAACATGTCGTAACATGAGCTTCAGAATGAGACATGCAGGAGGATGTCTTGAAAATATAATTTCAAGACTTCAGGTCTTAAAGGTGTGTAATGCAATATCAGGGCGGTAAACTAAAGCAAAATATTTTGGATGTGGAAATTGGTCTGATTGTCATTTACTGACATTTCTTAGCATATTCTGATCATCATTTGACGCTTGAAGCATTTGAAATACATGTAGTCCCAAAACCCAAAAACTATGCAAGGAGTCCCTTTATTTTTTGGTACCACCAATAAACAAACAAGCAACCATTTTCTGTCAGCGACATCCCATTTTTGCCTCACGGATATGATCAGTATGGGATAGGGCTGATTCAACTTACTACAATAAAAGATGACCAGAAAATCCAGTTTTACTACCCTAAAAATTGCTTTAGGTGCCTTTAATGTCCAAAATGTACTACATGTAGCTAGACCAGACTTTTGTCATCATCATCACGGTTGCATGGCTCAATCTGAAGTCATCATCTCTACTTTACAGCTCGTACTAACCATTCATGTCACATTTTCTCTACAATCATGCCAAGCTATGGTGGATGGGTTTTCACGCGAGCTGTTGATCGCCTGTTCTAACGCTGTCTCGCTTTTGCTTGTTCCCAGGTGCCTTGTCTAGTGAAGACCTCCACATCAACATTCCACCTGAAGCTGACTCACAAAGCTCAGGCTCTGCCGGGTCCCGACCAGGTAGGTGCAGTATTCAAGTGACGAAGTACAGCCTATGTTTGTACTTGTGTCCCACAACTGCCATCTTTTGCATTATTTCAGTTGCAGAACCTTATTTGTGCTTGAGTATTTGTAATTCAGTTGCTACTCAGCAGTGTGTTAGGCAGCTTGTATTAGCCTCTACCAGGCTTTTGAAGCTAAGGGGCTGGAAAGAGTAGAAATTGGCCAAATAGATTCTGTTGCACACCAGGGAAGTACACTGGACCGTTATCAAATTCAAATTTTCCTGACAAGATTTCCAGTTACATATTCAAAGACCGTCTGTTCATGTCAGTTCTGATATACTCTATTTGCAAAGCCATAAATGGATTAACATACATGTATTTCACCTCTTGGCACCTATTCGATAGCGATTAGTACAATGTAGACTTTAACGAACGTAGCGGGTGCAGCAAACTGTACTCCTTCAGCAGACCATTTCCCCTGGCATGTTATCTATTTGGCAAATTTCTACTCTTTCCAGCCACTTCTGAAGCCTGGTATAGGCTAGGCTTTAGCAAATTTAGGCTACACTAATTTGACTTATTGGTTCTCGGATTTTTTCAGGAAAAAAATGAAGCAAAAAAATAAAAACAGGCCTAGGCATCCTATGATAGCTCCAAATGCTATGATAGGAGTCCTGAAGTCAAATTGAATATACATTGTACATGTACCAGGCTGGTTTGTAATTCAAATTTTGACCTGAACAAAACACTGCATTGCTAGGTTGAGAAACTGCAACAACTAGGAAGGCAAGGATTTTCCTCAACTATAGTGGGGTCAAAATATGAGCATTTTGGATTTGAATCAGAACCTGAATACTTTTAATTTTGCAAATCAGAAAACATGAAGTGGGCAAATCCGAGAACCAATGGATTGAATTGGTGCAGCCTTATAATGTACATGTATGTTTGATGTTCTTCCCTACCCTATCGGTGTGGTGTGTGGGTCTATAAATTTCTTTGTGGTACACTAACCATACCTGAAAGGTGGTGAAGCACATCCACCCCCCCCCCACTGTTTATTGGTGCTCAGCTTCTTTGTTTCCCTCCGCACGTGTAGCGTCGCACAACACCAGTTACAACAGCGAGGGCAACCGCAGTTGGTCCAATTACAGCACCAACCTCTCGCCACGGATAGACATAGGTAGACGTCATGTAGCACGTAGAAATCACCCTCCCTCCAACACCCCAATCCCTACTAACCCTCTCCGCATGCTGACTTTCAGATGGTGCATGACCATGATCGTTTGCCAAATACAGAATATCAGATTTTGCATGTTTAATTTTTCTATCAAATTGTGCATGTTCAATTGTCACATTGAAAGATTTTAATTTTCAAAGCATGCGTGATTTTGAAACAAAATGAATTATCCCAAATCAGGTTGTTGATTGCAGATTGAATGAGTATGAAGTCTGTGATATGTATATGTACAATGTACAAAAATTAATGAATGTCAGTGTTCTAGCCAGTGTTCGTATTTATTTTGACAGAATTTCGCTGCATGTAATGACGGACAAAAACTTTGACCGACCCATCATCTTTGACAGAAATGGCAGTTACATGTAAAGATATGAAAAGAGATTTTGTTCAAAACTAACTTTACCATAGTCTACTAGCAAAAGTTGTACCTCAAAATGCACGAAAATACATTTCAGGGGTCAAGATTTCAGAATTTTCCCAGGGGAGTATGCCCTTTTAGCGACATAATATTACTGGTATGTTAAACAAATTGAGATAACCAAAAAAAAAACATCAGGCTGGCTAAAACACTGGCATATCATATGTCCATCCATTGCCTTCCTTCTCATCAGGTCCTAACAATTCATTCCTTCCCTTCTCCCTTTGTGAGTAGACCAGACTTGCAAAAGGTCCAGTCATTATACCACTGATTTACAGTCCTTCCCAACATCAACTTGACCCTACTAAGGGCCTACTTACCCAGCCATCCTGTCTCTCTTCTTAGTCTTGACTGATAGACAATTTGTATCTCAAATCTTGATACAGACCGCATCAGAGCAGGCAGCTTGGGAAGCGAGGATCACATTCCAACCAAGGACCCCGGCAGTCTGGTCCCGCCCGTAGACCGCACCCGTACGGGCTCGTATAATTCGTACGACTCTAGGGACAGCTCGCCGCGGGAATCCTCGTCCACGCCGAGGTCACACGCGTCCACGCCCAGGTCGCAGTACAACGCCGTGTCGCCCGGCAGCGAGATGGTATCGCTGGAGCAGTTCTTAGACGAAAGCAACAAGGTTCCCTCCCCACTGTTTACAAGGGTGAGCTTACCCCTCCGTAATGCTGGACTTACATTGTATTCTGTAGTAGGAGTTTTTAGGAAGGTCCGGAATTCAGGAGGGGCAAGTCATTCCTGTTACAGGTTTGCTGTTATCTGCGGTGATGTGACTTTTCATTTTGATTGTCACGATTAAGTACAAATGTAAATAGCGATTTTTGAAGATTGTCAGGATACTGTGTACTGTTGTGGTGGCTACTCTGTCCTGCTGCAATATGTACACTACATGTACAGTATGTGTCTTTTGGGGACGATTTCTATCATCAAGAGTTAGATCCATGTACATGTATCATTAGTCTTGTTTTCTTGCAGTTTTACACTTAGTCTAGTGTTAATTTCCTGATTATTTTGCAGTGTCTTGGACGAAGTGTTAGAATAGGTTTGAATGCTGTGGATTGAAAAATATCAGCTTAAAGTGGCCCCATTGCATCAAAATGTACCCAGACTACCCAGATTTATACCAGCCAACAAGTAGTTCTAGAGGTCCTACATATTTTACAGTATTGTACATGTAGTTCAACTGGATTTGTCATACATGTAGTGTATCATTTGTCTTTCACTTTTTTTCCAGACTCACGTCAGAACATGTTATGAATTAAAGAGTTCAACCTTGGTATATATGGATATCCCTCAAACTTAAGGTATGGATATTTATTTACATCATAATTTGGGTTGTCTTCTGTTCTCCCTACAGAAGAGAATAGAGAAGAGGAGTCAGTCCCAGGACTCAGACTCGCTGCTGAATGACAGACAGAAGGATCACCTGGCCCGGAACATGATGTACAACTCCATGGGACAGCTCCCAGTCGAGTCCCATTCCACCAGGCCGCCCTCCAGTCCAAACTTCAATGCCAGAAGACAACATTACCAGTCCGAGGTCAACCTGTCGTCCATTCCAAAAGACCGGAGTCAAGACCGGATCCATCCGGACTCGCGTGCCATGTCGTCCTCTACCAGCCGGCTGGATGGCAGCCATCCTCCCGCGCCGCCTCAGCGATACCCGCCTTCCAAGATGCTGAGCCCGGCGCCCAACCCCCAGTCTTCCCCCGTCCAGACGCGTGTATTGACAGTCTCCAACAGGCTGGATCGCCTGTCCAAACCGTCAACTCCGAGCCAGCCCCAGACCGTCACCGTCAAAACCACCACCATTCCCGGAACGGACAAGCCCACCCTCATGGACGGGAAGACGCCGTCGCCGAGGCACGATTACGGGGGCGGCGGGGACGCGCCTCGGAGACCGCCGCCGGAATACACGAACTATTCCCCCCGCGGTTACAAACCTCCGTCCACGAGCACTCCTCAGTCCGTCAGGTACTCCGACAGGCCCACGCCGAACCCGAGAAATTTAAACTCTCAGTACGACACCAGACCGGACTATAACAGAGACAGTAGGCCGAGTCCCAGGGAAGGACAGTACGGCAGGGCTCCCCCTTCTCCCAGACAACAGAGGGCCAACCCCAGACCACCACAGGAACAGAAATCCTCCGTCAGACAAACGGCCGCCATGTTCGAGCAAAAAGGCAGGGATGACGACAGGAAGGGAGAACCACCAAATAACCAGGGGGGACCCTCGGGGGCTGAGGGGTCGTCCATTTGGTACGAGTACGGATGTGTCTAGTAACTAGGGAACTCTGCTGTACAAATCTTTTTTCTGAGTTTTCGTTTGGAAATTTCCTTTCAAACTTCATTGGCTGTAATCATTGATGACGAGACTGAAAAGTTTGCCAAAATTATGTTTAATTTGTCATACATACTGTACTTTGTGCATTGCAAAAATATTGACTATGTTGACAATCAGAGGAAAATTATCTTGTTTATATAGATAGCAGTTGTTTGTAAGCTATATATGAGTGTACATTTTGTTTTTTGACATGTTGAGTGCACATACAGTGTGGAGACTGCAGTGTGAAGGAGGGGTTGTGGTCTAAAAATACCCATGATGTTTTGCTTTCCTATTTAATTTAAAACCTGTACATTTGATTTTCTTGTGGGATTGACCAGCCCTGATATCAAAATACACAGTATTACACTGACTTCTCGTTTGTTTGTGATCATAGCACTTGTATGAGTTTTTTTAAGATGATACCTTAGTTCTTCTTCAATGACAGTCGTATAAGTAAGACTGTGCACCGTGTCAAAAGAAATACTGAGCAGGACAATTTCAATGGTTGTGTGTTTCATATATTGTTCTTCCACCTGCCTTTATATAGAACCATGTGTCTATTGCAGTTACCACAGCCAACCTGTTAACGTTGTTTTGTAAACAAATTGCTCTAAGCGTTGAACATGGATCCATGAAGACCGAGGTTTGGGATTTGTAATTATGGCTTTATATCGAACCTCGACGTTGTAAGATTTTTTTTGTATCGGCCAAAATTGAAAGGATGTAAAATAATAATAATAATGACTTTCTACCCTGCGATCAGAGTGTAAGCTAGAGTAGCTGACTTGCTGTTATTTTGGAATAAAGGAAGTTGTCTTCAGGATTATTGGACTCCTTGTCTTGCACGAGTCCCTCACTTTTAGCCTGGGTGCCAGACTGTCACCAGGGCCAACATGCGGACCTGCATACGGACTGTCTCCTGGGCTCTAGGGCCATCATATCCTCAAGGAAATTTTTCTACAGACCCCCTTAGTTAGGGTCTAACTGGGGACTGGCTCTGGGAACAGTCTGGCATTCAGGCAACTCATTTTATAATTATGATCTCTGACAAATGTCAACACTAGAACATTGACACACAAGGTGCTTTGCAACAAAACTTTAATTTTGGGATAGATTTTGGTATCAGGAGTACTAGTAAGATAACTGCTCAAGAAAGCTGTCAATGCAGGCTATCATCAGATCATTTTAAAAGTCTAATTCTTGTTATAAACAGTCCTCTCATCTATGGACAGTTTTCAGTGAGCATTATGTAAAGACCACACTGGGTAACAACAAAATAATATGATGTTAGCAAATACCCATCTGCCATAAATATATCATACTCTTACTGAAAATACCCGTACCTCATGCTACTAAAATCCTGCTACTCTTACATGTACATGTACATTGTAGGTACACGTACTTCACTCAGTGACCAGAGCTATCAGTGTTTTGTTTACACTAAGTGAAATGTTTATTTACTATAAGTGAAATGTTTATTTACTAGACTATCTTAGAGGTTATCAGACAACATTTTTAGAGACTACAGTAATTTTTCACATCACAACTTGGGATACAGTGAAAAGCATGAGCTTTCGAAGTTTTCGACACAACCTCTTGATGCACTTCCACACTTCAATGTCCATGAACATGCAGGAAGCAGCATGCTACTGACCAATGGCAACCTAAGAGTTGGGAGAAATATAAGTTCAGTCATACCCTCGCAACTTTGGCACTAGTAATATCACATTTACAGTTTGAAAACGGTGCAGAAGCTCCTTGATTGGTGCTATCATCATGATTGACGAAGATTGGCTGGACAGGTGATCCTGTATCAGACATTAATCGTCATGTCTTGCATCGACTAGGTCATCATGATCCGCTTTCAAGCTATGTGATTGGTTCAGATTTGATCTTGGATTAACTCAGATTACATTAGATTAGCTCCAGTCAGTGGCAGCGATAGTCACCATAGGCTTTGGGCTGAGGATCTCGATCCAGTAGCCGTCAGGGTCTTGAATGAAGGCCAGTCCTTTCATCTTACCTGCAGGGGAGGGGGGAGAGGGAGGAAGTTACTGGAGGTCATTATACCATAGAAGAAACAGGCCACAAAATACTGGGTGCACTTTTTGCACCCAAAATTGGAGCTGTGCACCTACACATGTACATGTACATTAAGACTTAGGGTACACTGATGTTGCTAGTGTAATTTCATTGGTGTTGACCTACTGGCATCTGAACACCGTAAAATGTATGTCATGTAGGGCTTGAAATCCTTTTTCTGCATCATTCTGAACCAGACATATTTTACCTGCACCACACAGAATTTAGGAAGTACATATGGATCACGATGCAATCTGTTCAGAAACCATTGCCATTGTTTCTTTCATACTTCATAGGTGATGACATTCCATGCAGCAAATAAAAATTCACAAACACCAACATATATAATACTGTGTAATTCCAGTACATAGACCAGTGCAGGTAGATATCAGAAATACCAGCACATCTCAAATTCTACCTGCACACGCAGGTGGTACATTATTTTGAGCCCTGTCATGTATAATTATATCAGTAAGGAGGTTCACAAATAAAAAAGCACACGTTCAGTGTCAAAGGTGCTCATGAGATGTAAACAGATTGAACACGTCAAATATTTGTATTTCTCCGTTTTATTTTGCATTACTACGTTTTGACAGGGCTATGGGACCCTCTAACATGTTTTTTTACCTCTCTGGGGCCTTTACCTTTGACACTGGGCATGCACTCTCTACAGTCCAAATATTTAACATCTCAGTACTACTAACCAGCATCAGGCTCCTTTACAAAAGGCACTCCCAGCTCCTTGAACCTTTCGCAGGCTTTGTACACATCAGGGACTGCCAGTCCAATGTGACCTGGAGGGCAACATTTATTAAGCAATACTATTGTCATAAAGAAATGCTCCAACAAACAACAATCATCTGAGTGTAACAACAGACAGGTAACATTTGCAAAGCAAATGAATATTTTTACCTACACATCCTCTAGCCTATAGGCCATACTACTAATGCCCTGTTTATTCTTACTCGAACACATTCATAATGAAGACCAACCCCTCCAACTCTGTCCTGCAACTTGCTACATAATGTAATATAATGTTTTAATTCAAATACTAGTGTAGTGCTAACCAGGACAGCATCAAGGCAAAAAGGAAGATTTTTTTTTATAGTAAAGTAAGGGCTGACACAGGTTGGTATTCAAGTTTTTAATTTTCTTCTGACAAACACCTACCAAATCCTTGAGGGGGTTTGTTTCCATTGTGGTAGCTCTGTTCAGGATCATTCTCAGTTCCCCAGTTACTAATTGTAAATATAAAGAAAAACACATTTATTCATATACTATCACACGGTTATCAGCTCCTCCAGCTCTGTCCTGCTACTAATGTACATGTAACCCAACATCACAGGATGTCTGCTACAGCACCAGTTACCATGGTGACAGACATCTGGTCTACATGTAGGTCATTGACCTTATGTGTTGGGAGAAGAAGAAGAGACAGCAAAAACAACATATTTTCCTTCTGTAAACGTACAGATTATGACTGAACAAATTTCAACATAATTCAAGTGGAAGCAACTTGTCTCAGTCAAAGAAGCAGCTCACAAACTTACTGAGTCAGTTCCAACGTAGCCTTCCTTGAGAAAGTCCACCCTGTGCACTCAGCAGGGTCCGATGGGATATCCTCAGCCTTCTCAAAACCCATGAAGAACAGGGAGAACTTCATGCTGGGGAAATCCAACTTCTTCAGCAACCTGGAACATACGATAAGTCAACTGTTACTTAGTATAACAGAGAGAGGGGTGCTGTCCCCCGCTCTAACAACGGCTATTGTATAACTGTATAAATAAGTTAATGTATCAAAGAATGTTTAGACCTTCGAGTTAGAACATGTAATATAAGTTTAATATTCATCTATAGTCTTGTACGTAAGGTCAATTCTTTTGTACCCAATGTGTCTGTCTGTATGTATGTTTAGTTATAGACGTTACGAAAGTCGCTGTACTTTTCTTGTGTCAATAAAGTTCTGTCTTTTTAACTTCCGCTGCCAAATTCATATGCTATATGTAAAATGCACAAATTATGCTCTGCTTTGGTTGGATTTGAACAGTCCAGATCTACTATGGCTGATTCTGCTTTGTGTAAATTAAAGAGCATTCAGGCTTCAACTTTGTAGGCTTTCATGCAGGATTAAATCAGTCACTGGGTATACATAAGTCAATGTTTATTTGGCATGTTAGAAAATAAGTCACTTTTACAAAGAAACCTAGAGAATTGTTTTTTTGTCTATGTGTCAGAAAACAGTTCCCTTTATACATTGTGTTGCTAATATGTAGCACTGCAGTAGCTGTAACTTGTAAGAAGGGGCTGTGCTGCCTTCAACAAGTTGATGAACTCACCTCATTCCTAGCACCCTAGTATAAAAATCCAGGGACTTCTTTGGATCCTTTACCCTGAACATGGTCTGCTGGAAGATGAAGTCCTGACAAACAAAAATTGAAATGTGAAGAAAACGTTTTGGCAGCAAAATAAACAAAGAAATAGGCAACTACTCAAAATAATATAGCAGTAAATGGTATTGGTAACATAATACATTGCTAAATTCAAAGTAATTGAACAGAAGCATTCACCTTCAACGACTATTATTATTATTTAGTTTAGGCAGAGGCTAAGAATAAGTTGTTGATTTTTCTCACTATCAACAGGCTAACCACTATTGGCCTGTACAATTTTTAACCATTTGTTTGACCATTTTGTTTATTAATCTATTGACAGGCTTAGCAAGACAATAATAATGTTTCCCCGGCTATTATTGTTATAAAGCCTAGCAATACGTTTTCCTTGCTATTGTATATACATGTAATTGACAGGGAACAGCCCATCTATAATTTGCCATTCATTGTCTAAAGTTTATGATGATTAACTACCACGATTGTTTGGGGCCACGCCCCCTAGGCCTGTTGTGTAACATGTTATGCTGAGTCATCGAAGACTTCACTAGTCCATGCTTTTTGAATGCCATGTCGTTTTCCAAATCATGTTTCTTGTAGAGAAGGGAAATATTACCTTGCAAGAGGCATCTGGCTCGCCACAGGCGCTCCTAGCCTCTTTGTCTGTCAGTCCTTGCGGCTCAGACATGTTTCTCCGCGGTATATCGGGCGGCTGGAATCAACTACAGACAGACGGGAGATTCCAGGCGACGTTAGCGGTGTCACTGCACAGTGGAAGCGGCCAATGCAAGCCCTAAACATGCATCAAACACTTGGCATCAGCCGTCAAAAATGCAAACGTTTCTGAAAGTTGCAACCTACCAGACGACGTGCAAGTGAACTCCACACATGCAGAGGGCAATGGACCAGTCTATAAAGTTATGGGTTGGCGCTGTATTTTAACTGCAAGAATTCATTGTCAGGCAAAGTTGGGACTAAACAGCTTTCTGCCATTTCATTAAAATTATTATACTCTTTATTGAATCATAATAAAGGTAAAAAGTACATCTTTTGAGGTTTATAGGATTTTTTACTTTGTGTACTTCCCTCCGTGAATTGTGAATGAATCCGTCCAAATTCCCCAGCTCGTGAGATAGTAACCATACTGTGATTGGTCAATTTTGTAGCTGCCTAAGCAGCCTAACCAATCAAACTGCCTATTCGAGTAGGGGATGTCGCGAGTAGAGGCGTTTGTCACCACAGGCGAGTCACGAGAGGCGGTCACCAGAGGCGGACTGTACCCATTTCATCATTACCTTCGCCAAGAAGGTTATGTTTTCAGTAGCGTTTGTCTGTGTGTGTGTGTGTGTGTTTGTGTGTGTGTGGTTTAGCAAGATAACTCGAGAAGCAGTGGATGGATTGGAATGAAACTTGGTAGGTGGGTAGGTCTTCATGAGACCTAGAAATGATTAGATTTTGGGCCCCCTGGCGGCTTTCCTAGGTACTGCAGCAGAACTTCCGGTTTTGATATCTCGTGATCTAGACATGCTAGGGTCACGAATTTTGGATGGCAGATAGCTCTTGGGATAGGGAAGAAGTGACATGAGTTTGGGTCCCCTAGCGGCTTGTTCTGGAACTGCAGGAGCATTTGTTGAAAATTTTTCGAAGGAGGATAATTCAAGAACCGGTTGACGGATTGTCGTGATTTTTGGTATGTAGGTAGTTGAAGTGATGATCAGATGACAATAATGCAAATCAGGAGCTAATTTGCATAATTAATGAGGAAATTCTATAAATCTGCTTTGTTCGATAATAGAACTATGAAACACTTGTGACATTACTTGTGAGAACGAGAAAAAACATCTGAGGATATAGATTATGTAAATGAGGACCTAATTTGCATAATAAATGGCAAATTTTTATAATTTCATAGTTGTAACTGCTGGGAATTTCATACTTGCCACATTTGGAAGTTAAGTGAAGGTGAACATCAACAAACATAATTTATTCAAATCATGGCCTAATTTGCATAATTTATGAGGAAGTGCTATAATAGCATTTTTGTTAAGATAAGGCTGTCATTGGGTGGAGAATATGATCAACTGATATAATCCATGCAAATGGGGCTCTTATTTACAAAATCAATGATTAAAATTGTATAATTTGTCAACCACAAGGGTTAACATCATTTGGCGAAGGTATGAGATCGTGGAACTCTTGTTAATACATTCATCTACTTACAAGTAGTGTTACCTTGTACACTGAACTGGCTTTGGGTTGGGGTTCTAATAAATATTCTATTCGTTAATTCAATCTCATCCATATAACCTCTGGTTGGTCAAATGTTGTATACAGCCGGTGGTTACATTTGCATATCGAACAGGTGAAACACAGGTGCGAAAATTCTGGATGAAACCATTGTTTTCATCTAAACGGGGGAGAGATTTCTCATTACTTTTTGTTTTGTAGCAAAGAATAATTATAGGGTTGCCATAACGCATATGTATGTACCAAAGAATGCAAATTGCAAAGTTGCAGGAAAGTGACCCTAACGTCCCTTGCATAGTCTGGGCGATTAAAACGAACTTCATTTTTAGTGAGACGTAAGCACTTACCTGTAGAAACAAAAGGCACAGTCCAAAATCAGCTCAGTTAGTGAACAGCAGGCAAGCGTCAGTACAAGCCAGAACGTCTTCAAGGTAAGCGTGGAGGTTAGTGGGTCTCTTATTCTCCCCTCATGGCAGCGAAAAAAGGCCCCGACGTTTTATAACAGTAGTAACTCGTGCGCTTTCATGCAAACATGTAATTAGTGCGTTGGCGTTGTATAAGTGTAATTCGTGGATTGCTGAGATTTTGAGGCTCGAAACGCGCTGTCAGCTTGCGCTCAAGCTGGCGGTGGGAACTTGGAGACCCGGGCGCTGTATAGTATTAACTCGTGCGCTTTCATGTATACTTGTAAGGGTGTGTAATTCGTGCGCTAACGTTCGTAATTCGTAAGTTCTTTGAGACTCTAAGCGCGGCGTAGCGTGCACGTTGCGCGAAAGCTGGTCGCGCAAAAGACCCTGTTTCTTGATTTGTTGTATGAGGCTGTGTTGAAGATATGTCAGGAATTCTGTGAGTGCTACACAAAATTCCTCGCATGATATTGTCATGTTTAGTCTAGGTTTAGTGGTGTTATTTCACATGGCTTGGGTATTTTGTATTAATTTGTAAGCTGATATTGTGACGATTCTATTGCTGTGGTTTATGCCTGTATGCGCGTGCGGATGTGAATCTTTTTCAGAAAGGTTCATACCAATATCTTTTCGTTGCTAAGTCAGTTTACTGGCTTAGCAACGAAAAGGGGCATCTCGCGATGCTGTTATAGTTGTAAAGCGTGCGTGGTATAGATGTAAACGTTGCATAGCTTTAACCCGTGCGTTTTATAAAAGTAATTCCGCGAGGACCCAAATGTCAGTGATGCCCACATGCAGCGCGGCGCGGTTTGACCACAACAAAAATCTAACACTGCATCTATTGTGTCGTTCTTTCTGCAACCACTTTGCACACACGTACACGAACACTATTTTCATTGTATTCCTTGTGCTCTTAGCATGGGAGCCATCTTAGTAAGATCGCTCCCATGCTTTTGAGCTCCTTATGGTAGTCGGATAAGTTTGATAACCCATGTGAATTAACACCACTAAAGTCCATAGAATTCCATAAAGACCTACGTTTATAGAATTCAGTGGATTATTATTAGTATAGAGCATTTTATCTTCTTATTACAGTGTACTAACGATTTTTCTTCCTCATGAAAAAATGGGGGGCCTGTCCCCGCTTGTGTAGTTCTTATGGGGTTAGGTCCCACTCATGCCTTAATTGCTTTTACATTGCCCCATTTGGGAAAGGTGGGTAGTTTGGCTGATACGTATAAGTATTAGTTTGTGCAACTAATGGATATCCCAATAAAGTATCAAGTTTATAAATAATGAATATTTAATACCAAATTACCTAGGAAAACGAGATTAAAATCCATTCTTAAAATGATTATCTAAAACTTTTAAAAGATCGTTAATTTGTTAGGCTCGTACCGAACCCCCTGGGTGTCTTATGGGGTAAGTTTTAGTTAGTTTCCCTATAGCTAGCGCCCCTCCCCTTGACTATATCGTAACTCACTCTATTGCCTGTATCTTCGCACACACGCACACACACACACACACACCTCAAAACGTCTCAGTCTAAAATGTATAATATTCCGATGCTTGAGTATAAAGTGTCTGAATGTAAGAGGTATGCAAAAGTTCAAAAACTCTTGCATATTTCATTAAAATTCAAAATGTCTCTAAAATATGTGAAGAAATGTTTGATGCTTGAAATATGCAGTAAGTAAGTAAGTATTCTAAATAAAGTGTCCTATATACAATGTTTATTTGGTTGAACATGAGTGTTCTTTTCTTCGCATTCACGCACGCACACACAAGTAAAAAAAGTTAAAAAGTTTGACATGTGACAAACATATTATATGGATTCTATGTAATGTTCCTAGTGTATTGTATATGTTCTAGTTTGTCTACCCAGTACAGGGTAAGGGCAGCAATGTTTAGAATCGCATCTTAATACTTATTGTTAACGTGTTTCGTTTCTTTTTGTCCAACATTACAGTTACAGCGTACACCTGGAGACTGACTTCGAAGTGTCTACAACGGGAAGACGTCTTCTTTATCGCCGAGAAGTTGAAGGAAGCAGCCACCGCAGCTCTGACCAGACTGTATGGAAACTATGAATGCATGAGTGAATGAAAGATTAAATAAATATACAAATTAGTGGATGAATATATGTTGTTCCTTGTGTAAAGTACATGCTGTAGTTTGTCTTGTTCAGGATTGGACATAGTTGAATGTTGCCTGGATGTGCATGGGTGAACCAAGGTGATTTTGCACAGCGTATCTAGCATTGATTATAACGCTTTCTGATTTTCTTTCCTTTTCTGACAACACAGTTCCACCAACTGAGAGGATGTAGTTTCGTGACTCGGTCGGGGGAAATCTGGTGACCACAGCTCCGATCGTGAAGACCAGCAGAAGCAAGTTGACTGTACAAGTTAGTACTGGGGGCTTCTATTAGTAAATTATTTTTGACTCAAGGTGTTTATGATCATTTTGTTCGCGACTTAACAAGTAAGGGAGGGGCGCTTGAATAATTAGTAAAATGGGGCTCCTTTTGTATGTCTGCCACCCCTTGGCGTAACCCAGCTTCGCAGGCGCGCGGCGCGGCGATTTTGTGTGTCGATCTGTTTGAGAATTTGCAATTTCCATGTATGCTTCTTCGATAAACATACAATATGTATGGACGTATATATATCTTTGAATTGTTACTTTTGGTTTTGCTCATGTTTGAGTTAATTCAGATTTTGTGATGCCCATGTATATATTTGCAAGTTGTGTAATCTTTGAGGTTCATAGAACTTTTTAGTCTGATTTTTTTGCAGTATTATGAATGCTTTGAAGTTTAACATAATATAATGTACAAAGGTGTAGATTCTGTGAAGTTGATTTGTTTTTGCTATTCAGCCGTTCTGTTAGACTTTTTCAGTGGCCTGTTTATCATTTATGTGATATCAGTAAGTATAGTGTACCTTTTATATTGGCATGAAGTTACATAAATATGTTGATGTTACGTTATAAGTACGAGGATACAGGGAAGGAAAACCCTGCACAGACACCCAGGGAAGACACCCCTGCACAGAAGTCCTAGGGAGTAAACCCTAGTCAAAAAATCCAGGGGGGATGAAACACCCCTGTCAAAAAAGTCAACCCCGCGCCAAAGTTCGACAAGTCAACCACTACACAAGACACAGACGGACAGTGGGATCGGCATTTCTATAGATGTTTACACGTAAATGTTATGTTTATGATTTCTATGATATATTGTATGACGGTTGATTTAGACTGTGACAGTGGAGTGTTTGAAAGACATGTATCTATGATTCTAATCTGAATAGTTCTGATAGTGTTCTGTTGTGCAATTCCTGGTTGTGTAAAAGAAAAAAAATGCCAATATCCTATATAGCTATGTTTACCAGACTGATGGACATGTTTCGTAGTTTGTTTTATTGCACTTTCTTATCTCTGTCATAGATGATTGCCTGTCATATTTTTTGTTTGCTTTGTGTTCTGTTTGTTTGTCAAATGCAGGTGATCGATGAGGCTACATACATCGACTTTCCAGAGGACGGTTGCTATTGAGCACAGAATTCACCAAAACCGCCATACATATCCCTTTGAATGATTTGATTTCTGTGCCTTAGATGGTACAAATTAGAATTAGGCGTGCGCGCAGATAGCAAAGAGGTTTCAATTTTTCTTGGCCATTCTTTTTTTTACTTCCCCGTCATTTTTCTGAGTGACTTCTGTCCGTCGCTGCATGTTTAATGTGTTGTTGCTTGGATGATGCGGTTCCGAAACGGTTTGTTCGATGGATGGATGGATGAAAGAGGTGCTCGAGCGACTGTAAATACTGTTACAATAGTTGTATGTCGCCAGATTCTACATAGCATTAATCAAAGTCTGCCTTCGCCTTCTTCTCCTTTCTGACAATACAGCTGCAGTTCCATGTCATAACCTGTGATCGTAGAGGTGACATGGTGAGTTTATTTGGTGACAGACTGGTAGAGGAAGTAAAACTGGTGACCCACATCCGAAGACTAGAAGCCAGCGTCTGTGCAGGTTAGTACTGGGGGACAATGGGGGAGGGGGTACTTGTACATTTATTGGGTCTTTGACACAAGGCGTATTACTATAATAGTATAGCGTAGCTTAGAACATATGTGTAGAGGTGTACTAGCTCTTAGTTAGTTCCATTCAACATTTTGCCAGACATGATAACCCGTGAACCCATATGTAGAATCTTGATAGACCCATCTCAGCTAGTAATCTTTTCATCTGCCGTATATTGTACCTGTTAACAATCGCTGTGCAATAAACTTCGACTTGACTATCATCTCGTTGGTGACTAACCAGTAAGGGAGGGGTGCGATTGAGTAATTCTTGGGGCTGCTTTGTCTATGTGTACATCAAGTTATTGGGTGTTTGAAGTGTATGATCATTTCGTTGGTGACCAACAATTATGTAGGGGGCAATTATTGAGTTATGTTTTGTACTGTGTTTCTCTGTCCAATGCAGGTTACAGAAACCGACGTTCCAGAGGATGGTCCCTACAGATTCACCAGAAAACGATTTTCCTTTGAATGTCTAGGCCACACCAATTTACAAATGATACTGTTTGAATGATACTGTTTGTTCAATATTATCATATAGTGTATTTTGACGTTGGTTTTATATATGTTGGGCAAGGTAGTAGACCGACTCGGACTGTATGTTGAAACGATTTTGGTCCTAGTCACTTGCTTCTAACCATGGGAAATTGGCACACAATTATTGGCAAACCGACGCTCATCCTGACATTACAATTTTTTACAGTCTTGGTAATTTTGTCTTATTCTCAAATTAAAATACAATTGGGTTTGAAAAGATTGTGAACAGCTAAGGAAGAATGAGGCTTAATATGACTACAAATAGACAGTCTAGCTGAATATAACAAATAAAACCAACTGTAGACAGAGTATGAATTAACCAAATAAAAATATTAGATAGGCAGGGAGGAAAACTTTAAAAGAAAATTTAGCAAGACAGGGCACAAATAACAACATTGCCTTCTTCAATTCTGGCTGTTCACTTTCACAATAAAAAATTCTTTGAACATTTATTCTTTATTACAAACTGCTGTGAGCTGAGTGAAACTCTTTAAACTTTGCTGCTATGTTGTACTTTTGTCGGGACTGTGAGTGGTTGTTGTCAGGATGGCGTCCAAATTTACCTCGGCAATGGAGGCAACACCTTGACGCGGTGCCGGGGCTTCTACCAAGTTTGTCTCCGGGAAATTCCTGTTTGCTATCTATATTAAAGTAAAACTGAATGTCTCTGTGGTCCTGTTTTGAGTGAACACACAGCGGCAAGGAGGATATTGAAGACAAATCCCACTCCTGATGTCGTGTCCAACATATGAACAGAAGAAAACGACGAAAGTTGATGCATTCCATTGCTTCCACAACTAATGTTACATTACCCCATTCAAAACCAGATATCTTCAATATGCTCCCGGAGTGCCATGCCCTATTATATATATTATATGCCCATACCTGTATCATTGTACCGTAGTAGGAGAATTTAATTCATATCCAATGCGATACAAAAATGACACCGTATGTAAATAGCTGACACATCTCCTGAATCATAGACTGTAATATAATAATATCCTCGATAAAGATTGGTAGCATTGAAACTGTGTAAAGTTACTATAGCTATGGATTAACTGTTAGAATTGTATTTCAGCATAGTTCGTGTAACATCCGTGTCCAGGGTCCATAATATTGCCACCTTGAGAAACAGTGTGCTTTAAGATATTTTTACTGCAACATACTTTTGGTATGCACTCTGCACACCTCAAATGTACATACCTAGGGTATGTTCACTATGTTGCAGTAAAAATATCTTTAAGCACACTTTTTCTCAAGGTGGCGATATTATGGACCCTGGTGATATTATGGACAGGGATGTTATTTAACCTTGTGTCTCTGCCTGCATAGCTAATGGACACTCCTCTGGCCAATGCTGCCACCGTAGGATCTGCTTGGAGATTAAATACATTGTACCAGTTACAGTTGTTAAACAATAAAGTTATCATGAAAGTTCATGAGGCGTTCGTGAGTGTCTGTGTGTGTCTGTAAACTCAAAGGCTTAAATGGACTGTCTTCATACTTGGTAGGTGGGTAGGTCTTGATCAGACCTAGAAAATGATTAGATTTTTGGCCTCCTGGCGGCTTGATGTGGTACTGTAGCTTAACTTCTGTTTTTGATATGATCTGGACGTGCTAGGGTCACGAAATTTGAATGGTACGTAGGTCTTGTATAGGGGAAGAAGTGACGTAGGTTTGGGTCTTGCCATTTGAATTTTGTGTAATTCAAAGTCTGTGTTTAGCATTCTGTCTGCACGGCTGCTTTCTTCTGGAATTTAGTGTAAAGCGTGATCAGGACCTTCCCACTTCTAAACAAAGTTAGAGGTTGACACATTATGCAATAAGAATTTCTAGTTGAAATGTAGCCAGCATTTAAGGGGAGTTTAGGTACTGTAGACAGTCAAGTTTTGAAGTCAATCATTGCAACAGTACTACCTACATTTAACATAGATAGCTAAGGGCAGTTGTAAAAGAGATTTTGCTAAAATGTACATGTAAATATATAAATGGTTTATTTGCAAATTGACATAAAACCAAAACAACATTGCAGCCTAATAACACAATGTATTGTACAAAAGACTGAATTACGTAGTTTTAGGGAACACACCAAATATCATTAATCACAAACATAGCCAAACTAAATAACAAGAATATAATATATACAATTGGTAGTCAGGTGATTACACGGTAGTCGAAGCACTGTTTGAGTTTTGATAGGTACGGAATAGCACTGTTCCTGTACCTTACAGATCTTATAGATGGTAGGCTAAGCTGGAACCCCCCTTTTAAGTCCCTATTATGTACTTTATTGCGGGTGGGGGGTAGCCAGGGTCTAAACGTTGGTGAATTCAACAGAGATTTTGCAAACTTATTAAAGACACAATGATTGATTCCCTTCTGGCTTTTAGAGTGCAGGCAGATTTTGATGAGCTTGAAACTAGACCTGGATTTTGGAGCAGGGGGTTTGAATAGCTGCAAGTACATTAACAGTGATAACAGAGTTTGAGTTTATATCACTGCTTGACAAAACACAATTCCTCTCTTCCCGTTTGTTCTATATTTCCAATTCTTGTCCCTGGGCTTAGCCTGGAGGAGGAACTTCTGTCCCAAGGTTCAAACTTTAATATATGCCTCAATTCTGCATAGTAGACTTGTTGATGGACAACATTAGCATATCATATCAAATAGCTAAAGGCAGTTATAATAGAGATATTGTTAAAATGTTCATGTAAATATAGGGAAAGAACTTTTGAGTTAATTATCTGAGGAAATAACATGATGTATTTTTGTTTCGCTGATTCCCTTTAAAGTCATGTAGACTAGAGACTTTGTTATCACTGTTGATGAACTTGCCGCAACACTATTACCTTCTGTTGCAAAATTCAGGTCTCGTGTCATGTTGATCTGGTAAAGTTTGACGGCAATGTTTTATGCTGACAGACTTTATTTGATGAGCTTGAGGCTAGCCTGGATTTTGGAGCAGGAGGTTTGAATTGTTTCCAGTATATTTACAGTGATAACAAAAGTTTGATAGAAGGTTTCTATCACTGCATGACAAAACACAACTCCTTTCTTTCTGTATGTTCTTACCCTGGGTGCCGACTCTTTTCGGGCTGCTAGCTGTTTCCCTTTGGCAGCCAGAAGCCCTTCACCCGCCTGTGTAAATTACCGCTACGGGCTAGACTTCCCCTTAGTGGTACTAGTAATTTAGACAGACGGGCAAAGGGCTTCTGGCTGCGGAAGGGAAACGTCCCGAAACGAGTTTGGCACCCAGGGTAGTATGTCCCTGGGCTTAGCCTGGAGGAGGAACTTCTGTCCCAGGGTTCAAACTTACACATGCCTCGACTCTGCGTAGTAGACTTGTTGACGGACAACTTTTCCGTCATCAGGCTTACTACGCTAACGGAGAGGGGCTTTGTGTATTTTTGTTACCTTGGCACGGAGGTTTTCTCCTTCAGGCTTTGTTGGTTGATATGTACGTATGTATATAGGCCTGTTTAAGTTCACTCACACATTCTGTCACACTTTTTCAACATTTTGGACCCTAACACTTTTGAATTCATTTTTTCCACCAAAAAACTTGAGACCTTCATTTAGTTGTAATTGGCAGCTTTAATTCCCCCAAAATTGTCTCTTTGGACCCACTTCATTGATGAATTGTGTAAAAAAATTTGCCAAAATCCTGCCTGCCAAAAAACACTTAGCATACCTGGGACCCTTAAGTAGATAATTAATTGGATTAAAGTTTTCCCGCCAAAAAACTTAGTATAGGGGCATCTTGACCTTTGACCCTTTACTCATTCCCTGAACACATAGCCACCACACTTCTGCTTGCTACACCCAACCAACTCACACTGTTCCAATGCTTTGAACCTTTACGCTTCCAAACACTTTGTGATACTCATGCTATGTCAGACCAACCTTCCAAAACACTTAGTTACTTGAGTGAGACTTTTCTGCCAGAATGATTGTCACTCTACTGGTCATTCAATTGCACAGGAATGCTGGTGTGTCGAAACACCGTGTCTCCGCAAAGACATCCCCAGGGGAGCAAACTTCTGTGCATTGACTGACCAGTAGAGCGACAATCATTCTGGCAGAAAAGTCTCACTCAAGTAACTAAGTGTTTTGGAAGGTTGGTCTGACATAGCATGAGTATCACAAAGTGTTTGGAGAAGTTAAGCGTAAAAGGTTCAAAGCATTGGAACAGTGTGAGTTGGTTGGGTGTAGCAAGCAGAAGTGTGGTGGCTATGTGTTCAGCAAATGAGTAAAGGTCAAAGGTCAGGATGCCCATATACTAAGTTTTTTGGCGGGAAAACTTTAATCCAATTAATTATCTACTCGAGAGTCCCACGTATGCTAAGTGTTTTTTGGCAGGCAGGACTTTGGCAAAAAATTCATCAACCAAGTGTTCAGGTCCAAATTGACAATTTTGCAATGAATTCAGGATAACAATGTGGAATTCAAATGGCCAATTACATTTTGCAACAACAGTGATCGGCTTCTCAAAAAAGGCATCCAGACCCTCAGAGTGGAGTGTTGTCTTGTGTTCAAGGTGGAAGAAGAGTGTGACTAAGTGTTTGGGAAAGTTGACTGGAAACGTGGAGCACAAGAAAGGGTGATGTACCGTGCAATTAAAATCAGGGTTACAGGATGAAAGTCAAGTTGCTGGGCCGTGGTGCCCAGTGACATTAGGGAGCGGGCGAAAACTACAGAGGATGGCACCCAGGTTAAACGCAAGGAAAAGAGAATGTAAGTGAAGCATCAGAGCGCAGACAAGAGTGACGTACCGTGCAAGTTAGGGTGTGACTAAGGCCCCACTTCCACTACAGTAAAATTGTCCGGATCAACCCGAATTGATTCACTTTGATCCGGCTTGAAGCAGAAGCGAAGCGAAGCGAATCAATTCGGCTTGATCCAAACAATTTTACCATAGTGGGAAAGGGGCCTTCGACCGAAAAGTTGAGCGTGCAAAAGCAGAGGAAGAGTTTAAGTGGTTAGGGAATTTACCGGTAAGTGTAAAGGTCCAAAGCGTCAGGAAAAGGGTGATGTACCATGCAAGTTTGAGTGAAGGGTTTAGCGAAAGGGTGAAGAAAGATGTTGTGAGTAAAGGCAGCTAAAGGTCCAAAGACAAGAAGTCCAGAATGTGAAGCATTTAAAGACTTGTGAAAGTTATTAGTTAGAAGTGTAAAAGAGAAATGACCATGGTGGTCTGGTATTCTTTTCTGTGGCTGGGCACGTTCAGCAAAGTATCAAGTTACTTGAGACAATTTGGGGCTAGCTGTGAAACTTTTCAAAATAGTTTGGACACAAGAGTTTTGTTAACTAGTGATTCTACAAAAAAAATCCC